GCTCCAACAACATGTGTGTATTGCGTGTATTGCGCGCCCTCTACAGTTTATGTAAAAAAACACACTGCAGTTGAGGCCAGTTACTGTCGATGTACGTGCTGTTATTCCCCAGACTGGCCCGCTACTAGGAGTTGCCCGTTTTTGCCACATTGTAGATGTGTGCGGGGCATCAACTCATAGGCCCTGGATATATTCAGTCCGATGTACGCTAGGCAAAAGAGATGACATGAGAACAGTGACAAGGACAAGTGTGAGAAAGTTCCCTCTCTTCACACACCTGGCTCTGGCTCTCAGAGGCAATCAAAATACAATGTCAAAGAGACATGTTTTTTTGGATCTGAACAACTATTTACCCACATTAAGCGTCTGGGTCAAAATGACCCGCAACATCATCTTTGTATACAAACTCTGCACAGACATTCCACTACACATCAAAGTGTCCAGATTTTACACATCAGTTCATGACCCTAGATGAGGAAAAGTCACCAAATTTCAGCAAGAAAAATAAAGGATAACCAGTACTTTGATCAACACAAAAACTGAAATGGGTCAAATTGAACCTTAACATAATACAAGGGTTAAAACAATATGGTTGAAATATCTTTTGATCTCATTGTACCACGTTGTCTCCTTATATTTTTTGTTTCATTTGGTTCTATACTGACGCACGATACAACAACCAGTACATGACCGTGTGCTGACGTCACGGCAAACAGCAATGCTGCAGCCTCAAAAGGAGTAAACAGGACTTTTAGATAATGGTAAAAACTACTGCATTGCGATGTTGAATCCAAATCTGAGAATATTAAGATAACTTTACCGAACTTTCAACATTACCGAACTTTTATTTTTGCCTGAACACCTGGAACTGGATAAGAGTGGATTTGCATCCTGCGCCTTTCCAGCCCACGGAATTTGACACGGCACACGGAAAACTCATTATTATTATTTTTGGAGGGGAAAATGCTGAATTGCATCAGGTAAGATAATATTGTTTTATTTTGAATATGTTACCCTTGCGCTGGATTGGTTCTTGTTGAATGTGGAAGAAACTGCATTGATGACATGTGGTTTTTTTTTTTTTTTAAAGTATCGATAGCTTAAATGTGGTTACTATTTTACGAGTAGTACTTTAAAGAATATGATATAGGATGGTGGTCGGAAGGTGGCTGTTTAATGCGTCCCTGGATCTGTTGTTGTGTGGCGTGACCAGACAAAACAAAATCACGATAACTTGATGCCCAGCCAGGCAAAAAAAAAACGCCCTCATATGTCGTTTTCATAGCTGTGACAATCAACCTATATTGTCGTTAGTGTGTGAGGATGTGTTGGTTTTCACCCCCCTGGAACACCGTCTTCATATAAACGAAAGGCCAATCCGATACCCAACTCTAACTACAGCCCCCTTGAACCTTTCAATATTTCGCCACATTTCAGGCTTCAAACATAAAGATATAAAAATGTAATTATTTGTCAAGAATCAACAACAAGTGGGACACAATCGTGAAGTGGAACGAAATTTATTGGATAATTTAAACTTTTTTAACAAATAAAAAACTGAAAAGTGGGGTGTGCAATATTATTCGGCCCCCTTGCGCTAATACTTTGTAGCGCCACCTTTTGTTGCAATTACAGCTGCAAGTTGCTTGGGGTATGTATCTATCAGTTTTGCACATCAAGAGACTGGAATTCTTGCCCATTCTTCCTTGCAAAACAGCTCGAGGTCAGTGAGGTTGGATGGAGAGCGTTTGTGAACAGCAGTCTTCAGCTCTTTCCACAGATTCTCGATTGGATTCAGGTCTGGACTTTGACTTGGCCATTCTAACACCTGGATACGTCTGTTTGTGAACCATTCCATTGTAGATTTGGCTTTATGTTTTGGATCATTGTCCTGTTGGAAGATAAATCTCCGTCCCAGTCTCAGGTCTTTTGCAGACTCCAACAGGTTTTCTTCCAGAATGGTCCTGTATTTGGCTCCATCCATCTTCCCATCAATTTTAGCCATCTTCCATGTCCCTGCTGAAGAAAAGCAGGCCCAAACCATGATGCTGCCACCACCATGTTTGACAGTGGGGATGGTGTGTTCAGGGTGATGAGCTGTGTTGCTTTTACGCCAAACATATCATTTTACATTGTGGCCAAAAAGTTCGATTTTGGTTTAATCTGACCAGAGCACCTTCTTCCACATGTTTGGTGTGTCTCCAAGGTGGCTTGTGGCAAACTTTAAACGAGACTTTTTATGGATATCTTTGAGAAATGGCTTTCTTCTTGCCACTCTTCCATAAAGGCCAGATGTGTGCAGTGCACGACTGATTGTTGTCCTATGGACAGACTCTCCCACCTCAGCTGTAGTTATCTGCAGTTCATCCAGAGTGATCATGGGCTGAAAGTTTGAAAGTTTGGAGGGACGGCCGGGTCTTGGTAGATTTGCAGTGATCTGATACTCCTTCCATTTCAATATAATTGCTTGCACAGTGCTCCTTGAGATGTTTAAAGCTTCTGAAATCTTTTTGTATCCAAATCCGGCTTTAAACTTCTCCACAACAGTATGGAGAAGGTGTGTTCCTTTGTCTTCATGGTTCTCTCTGCGCTTTAAACAGAACCCTGAGACTATCAAAGAGCAGGTGCATTTATACGGAGACTTGATCACACACAGGTGCATTCTATTTATCATCATCAGTCATTTAGGACAACAGTGGATCATTCAAAGATCCTCACTGAACTTCTGGAGTGAGTTTGCTGCACTGAAAGTAAAGGGGCCGAATAATATTGCACGCCCCACTTTTCAGTTTTTTATTTGTTTTAAAAAGTTTAAATTATCCAATAAATTTTGTTCCACTTCACGATTGTGTCCCACTTGTTGTTGATTCATGACAAAAAATTTAAGTTTTATATCTTTATGTTTGAAGCCTGAAATGTGGCGAAATGTTGAAAGGTTCAAGGGGGCCGAATACTTTCGCAAGGCACTGTATTTACTGTCACAGTGTCGCTGTGTAAACAGCCCCAGTATATGCCAAATGTGAGATCAATAAAGTTTATCTTATCTTATCTAAGAATTTGTAGTTCTGTGAGGCCCTCAACCAAATGTAGATGACCGTGATAGGAATCTATATGTTGTCCAACCCAAAGACTATAACAACACCACAGACTCACCAGAAAAACTATCCTTGAAGGTGTGTCTGAACTACCCACCTGACCTGAAGATAGATAGACAGATAGATACTTTATTGATCCCCCGTAGATGAAATTCTGGTGTCCAGCAGCAGAAACTCATCCAGGTCTGTTGTACAGTCTGACAGCCGAAGAACAAAGGATCTCTTAAAATGTTCCACTCGGCAGTGCAGTGATATAAGCCTGTTGCTACAATTACTCCTATGAGTGGCCATAGTGTCATGCAGAGGGTGTCTGGAGTTACCCAGGATACCCTGCATTAGAGCCCTCATCCTTCTCTCCGTCACAGTTCCCACAGAGTCCACACTTCTCCCCATCACAGAGACACATTTCCTGATCAGCCTGTCGAGCCGGTTACTGTCGCTCGAGGTCTGCCTGCCGCCCGACACGGCAGACTGCCTCTAGATGCGACCCCAAAAAACACGGCACTAGCTACAAAAGACTGTCAAAATATGTGCAACATCTGACTGCTCACATCAAAGGACCTCCGTCTTCTCAGGAAGAATAGTCTGCTCGCAATTAGATCTGGGCTTTAGGTGCTATGTGACCGCGGCAAGTGGGCTTGGGCACATAGCTTGAATGCTTGAAAAAGAATATGATGAGGGGGGCCGTAAAGCCCAGATGAGGGGGGTCACTGTGGCGGGTGGTGGGGTGTGGGGGATGAGGTGTGGTGGGGACTTGATATTGTATGTCACATTACTTCTTCCGTTGTGATGGGCATTTTCACGCACGTCTCTCCCTGCACTTTCGTATTCTCCGCTTGTGTTAAACTTTTCATATAAGCCCCAGACCGTGGTTGAGGGGCGCAGGGGGGTATGTCGCTGCAGGGCCAAAGAAAAGCGTTTCCTACGGGGATAACTCCCTCTGTTCTGACCCTCGCTCTCAGTGTGGTGCTATTGCAACAACACCTCAGACATTCAAGAATCAGTCTTTATTTGATCGCCAGAACACACCAACACACTTGTATCCTGCTTGTCTCTGGTCGCTCTGCTCGTATGCCACACTTTTCATTCTTTCATTTCTCAGCAGTCTTTTTATTTTTGTATTTTCAGCATATCTTTTCATCTAAGAATAATGTGGGACTTTTCTAGTGAATACTATTCTAGTGTCAGATTCAGATTTTGTTATTGTTGCTTTTTTAATCTTTACTGTTTCATTGTTCTCATATATCTATCAATATGTAACTTAACGTGTATTGCTGATGCACTAAACATCTCCGAAAAGGTTTTCAAGTCAAGTTTATTTGCATAGCACAATTCAAACACAAGACAAAGGCCCACAACTTCACAAAACAAGAAAAAACGCTTTTTTTCTTTTTTAAAGCATATTTCAGTTATAAAGAGCTGATTTCTGGGGTATTTACAGAACTGCTGTTTATGGATACACACTGCCCCCTTCAAATAAACTATACATACTGTATGAACCTGCATTTGAACATTGTCAGGAGCTTGTCTCACATTATCAGAAATGTTAATTTATATTTTAATATTGTTCTTGTTCTTTTTCATGGCTCGAAGGTCTGAAATGGCTGAGTGAGTCCGTCTGTCTACTTTATATTATGATAAATGTCAGGGTTATTAAAATGTATGTTGTTTCTCATTTCCTCTTTCAACAGACAGGATGTCACCTGACGACATGACCGGATGCATGTACGGGAAATTCCAACTCAACTCCTGGACCATGTTCAACTTTTATTTGACAAAGATTTACAACATAAGGCTCAAAAATCCCCTCTCAAATCTCTATATTATGATTACATGCACAGCTATTGTTGATGAAAGCTAAAAGCAGCAGATTCTGACTTGTTGGACTTGCTCAGTTGGACTTGCTCAGTTGGAGAGCAGCAGGAATGAGATCAGTGTTGTGGCCAGCACCAGGAGGCTGGCACTGACCCCACTCACTCCGTTACAGAGGTTGCCCTCACAGCAGTGGATGTCGGTGCTCATGCCTGGGATCTGTATGCTGCTGGACTGGCACAGGCTCTTGGAGATACAGCCCTTCATGGTCATGGTCTCACCTGCAGCTGCCACTATGGACACAGTGGAACAAAGCATGCATGTAAATATGTAGACTGTATATGGGCAGTGCAACCCCCCTAGCTGAATAGAGACGTGCTCATGAATGAAGTTTTGCACTGGCTCCTGTTGATTTAGATTGAACAGTAAACTCCTCGAACTCAGTACCCTTTTGTGTCACACTCACCGTTTTGGACTTTCATGTTGAGGGACTCTCTATGGTGTTTTTGTTCATGGTTTGATAATGTCTTTTGTAAATTCAGATATGCGGCAAATAAGGTTTGACTGATCAGATGTCTTCATTTGCAGGAGATATTCCAGCCTGCCTTAGACACCACCTAAACAACATGTTTGCTCCTGTTAGCATTAGAAGCATTTAAAGCTAGAGGAGCATTTACAGCTTGCTCAGAAACATAGCAGCTGCTTACTGTATATTGTATTTGTTGGGAGCTCCCTGTGTGTTGAAATTCTACCCACTGTGGGACGAATAAAGGTTCTGTTATCTTAATGGCACGGAGCCAACACCATACAATGAAACAGGTTTTGCAAAAGTATTGACAATAATTGAAGGGACAATATTTACTATGCACTATTAGGGGTCTGATAGAGCCATTACAAAGACAATTCAACTTTTGTTCTTCCTGGCTGTGAAACATGTAGCTCCTAAGCACTCATTACTGATACAATCTACCTGCTAGAGTTTAGCTAGTATGGTATCTGTAGATTAATGTGTGGTTCAATTTTTTTTTTTTAAAGAGCCAAAACCAGCAGAATTTCACTGTACAAACTGAGAGCCTCATTCTACTCTCTGAGTGGATGTTATGCTTGAAAATGATGTCCATTGTATTTTTAATTAGGGATTTCTCCATTTTAAACGATATATGATGAGTGCTTGTGAACCATTATCTGGGGACACATAACAAAATGTAGATGAAAATAAATTATAACATACTCACCCTTTAATCAAAGCTGAAACTAGTATTGAAACCTTTCTAGATTCTCAATTTATAAAATCAACTAATACATTTCTTGAACCTAAAACTGATGAGATTTCAGAATATCTTTTTCAGGAGAGTCCAGGCAAAGTTCAGAAAGTAGGGACTGGAAAATCTGGATTGGTGCATCCATAACAATGATTATGAACAATACTAGGATCAAAAACGTGTGGTGGTGGTTCACCTGTGGATTTGAGGCACTGGTCTTCATTCCCCTCACAGTTCAAGGTGGCGCTGCAGTCTCCGCTTACGTCACAGACATAACACTTCTTCCCGTTGGGCGTAGTCTTTTGGAGACCTATGGTGCGTCAGTACAATCTTAAGTTAGCTTTTTCAATGATGCCAAATAAACAATATTAATAACGTTTTTTTTATACTACGTTAAAATGACATATCATCGTTATTATTTATAATCATTATACTATTAAAGCTGCAATACCTAACTTTGAAAACACATGTTGCTATGTAAAACATTTATGTAATTAGATCCTCGCTCTCAAATCTGTTTGATAGCACACTAGTTTTCCAATTCAGGTGTTTTGATCAGATCATATTTTTCAGTGAAAAACAGCTTTTGACTCAACTCACAGTGTTCAAATGTTACAATAACATAAAGACAGTTCGTTGTGGTCTGATTTGTATTTTTTTTCTTTGGTGGATTGTCTATTTTTTATTGTAGGCCCGCACCAAATAGTTGAGCTGCAGTTTGATGATAAAAGTACCTACAATCAAGTGAGATGCCCCCAAGAGGTAGATTTCAGTTCCAAGCATATTTAAAGTTTATAGTGACTCAAAAGTTGATCTACCAAATGGTTGATGAAACCATAATAGGGTTAAACAAGACTCGTTCTGACTCTTTCTCCACAAAACAAAACACCAGCTTTAAGCTTTATTTTTGACAAACTATGGTCCATAGACTTAAACAGTAACTTTGTTTTTTTATTTGACATCATAATAGTGAATTCTAACACATTCTTAAATGTTCAAATTCAGTAGATCTCCAACTCAAGAGCATCAAAGAGCTTAAGGATAAGAACCCAATCCCACCGATGTATGGAGTATGGGTGAGAGGTGGAGAGGGTGGGGGGGTTACAGACTGTCCTATGTCTGTATTTATTTTGTATGTACCTCTGTTAATGTATTGCGGAATTGTGTATTACATGTGACATCTTGAATGTTTGACCTGAGCGTCACCAAAATATAAACATGAAAACTTAAATAAAATATGAGACACAAAAAGGGATCCAATCACATTTACTCGCACAATTTTTTGGACTAAGAAAGAGATCAGAGACACCAGCTGCATCAGAGACACCAGCTGCATGGCACTCACCGCGCCCTGTATTCACCAGCAGCTGAGTTTCAGTTTCAGTTTGTTCTTCTTCACAATATCAAACATTTACTCATGCATTGAGTTTGTATCCATTTTTCATGACACTGAGAAAAATAAATGGACACCCTAAGCTACACTAGCTTATGTGCGGAGTCCAACAATACAAAGTCAAACAGAAAAAGATGGCATGAAAACAGAGATGGGTTAAATTTGATAAGAAAATTAGAAAAGAAAAATGGACACACACACACCCACACTACCACACACACACACACGTTGTTAATCGTTTCCATGAATTTCCATTTATTTTTATTTTCAATGTTACACTCATTGTTAATACTATTTTATTTTATTTTATTAGGTGTTATCATAATCACTAATGTTTTATATTATTTACCATTAATGTGTGCTTTCCCTTTCCTTTGTAAGAGGAGATACATGGAGTCCAGGAGAGATACAGTTTTAGTCAAGCAGTACAGAAGCGTCCTAAGAGCCACTGTTTGATGTTTCTTTTAAATATGGCTAATGAGAGAGACTGCTTGATGTCCTCGTCAAGCTCATGCCAGATGCGAGGGCCCTTGCAGCAGATACTGAAGTTGGTGCATTTTACTCGTCTGTTTTTCCCTTTTAGTTTGTATTTCTCTCTTGTGTCGTTCACATAGTCTGGGGTTTAATTTGTGAACAACATTAAATATTACACAGGCGTTTTGATACAGGTTAATTTCCGCAAGTTTTAAGAGGCCCTATCTGTGAAAGAGAGCATAAAATAATTTCTGGCTGAGCTATCAGGAGGAGCAGCTGTTGCAGATTAAAGCACATTCATTTACTGCATTATTCTCCATATTCTATTTACAGTACAGATGGGCTCACACACCTAGTCATGGAAATGGTGAAATTTAAAGACTACTCTGAATGGACTGGTTTTTCCACACCTGCTTGGTTTTACATGCATCTTGTTTATTCAAATTAAAGACCTTATGACAGGTTTGATTTATTTAGAAATACAGTTTTAATACCATTTTATATTAGAAGAGAACTACTAAAGGTTTCAAAATCAGTTGTTGTTTTTTTTGTCTGATCCCCCCAAATCGAAATAACCCCTTAGCAACGCCCTTAGAGACGAAAAAACTTCACAGCCCTTGGTGACGTCAGAGTGGGTACGTTTCAACGCTGTAAGTTGTTTACAATTTGATATTCGTTCTTTTTCATTGGCACTGAGATAGTCCAGTGGTTGTGTCGATGGACTGCCAATCCAGACACTGGGGTTCAAGCTCCACCTCAGACACTTTTTCACTCTCAAACGGCAATTTATGTGTAGTGAGCAATTGTCACCTGTAGTGTGCAGTATTGTATTGGGCATCAGTGGAGAGAAGAGAGAAAAGGCAGTCCTGTGGCATAGATCCATGGTTTTTAATGCATGGGCGTAACCCGCTATGACGTCACACACAGGTCAGAGCATAGACAGCTTAAATTAATGAAAAACACGTTCTTTTTATAAAATATAGGATTTTTTTTGCCGGAATCTCTTTCAGATTGACATTGTCATGCAATTTTGATATCCACAATTATTTTTTTTTAAACCCGGCATAAGGTCTTTAAATTAGACTATAGGTAAGTTGGATCTGGTTCACTTTAACTGTAACTGCTTCAATTGAACTGGACCAAGTCTAGCCCGCTTTAACTTTAACTCGTTCACTTTAACTCTGGGAAAAAAGCTTCACAGAATCGGACTTCAGTAACAAATGGACACATGTTTTCCACAAACACATTTATGTCCCAAGAGACGAATCATGAAAGGGGATGTCTGCAATTTATCTTTTTCAAGATCAATATCTTTATTACACTTCCTCCCCCGGGCATAACCACCTCTGAGAATAGTTGGGGCAATGGATTTATGTATCAAGAAGGAAGTTGTGAGGGTAAAAATGGGCAGGTCTAACTGCTGCTTGCTTTGGAAAAAAAAAAAAAAAGAAGTATCTTGTGAAAAGAGAGGGAATCTCTTTTCACTGCGGTTGTCTGAGAATTTTCACCTGGAGTTTTGTTGTTGTTGCACATGTCTGTACTGCAGCAGTCGCTAACAACTCTTGTCACTCCCAAGTTCATTGAGCCTTGGACGCAGTCATGCGGTGCAATACAGGATTTGATTGTTATGTCGGTGAGTTCCGTGCTTCCTGCAAAACACAAGTTTGGGTTTCATCACTGTGTGCAGTAAATCACTTTATTTCCCAGCAGTTAGAGCAGATTGCCCTCCCTCACCAGCGTAAGTGCTCATCCGGAGTGCTCCACATCGATTCTTGTCAGCCGCACACTGCATTTCAGTGCAGCCACTGTTGCCTGTGCACTCGGAGCATTTCAGAGTTGAAGCTGTGGAGACACAATCACAATGAGCTCACCACATCATCACCCGACTGAAGCAACGCTCCTTAGTGACTAAAGCCCCAATGCCAAAAAAAGAACTTGATATAAGTTTTACCCCAGAGGCTTCCCAGGATAGCTGAGAGACTTAAATATGAAACAGGTTGGAGAATTAGAATAATGTTCAAAAGTCTGTTTACTTCTGTAACCATTTCTTTGTCTAGTATCTATAGATAGATTGATACTTTATTGATCCCCATAGCATACATTCAGGTGAGCAGCCATAGAAACCCATCTATACGAACAAAACAAATAAATACATAGTTCTAAAAGTTACAAACAATCGTAATAAAGTCCATCAGCACTTCAGGTCACAGCACAGAGAGGGTGTACGCTGGTGATGAGCTGCTTCCTTTCCTCTGGTTGATGAATGTAGAGACTGTTTTGTTCAGACCATTTTCTGGTCCATAGTGAAATGCTAAATGCTTTATTAGCGTTTATTTTTTTAAAAGAGCATACTTCTTTTGCATTATCTTGATCTACGTGGTTCGGACCATGCATCCAACTTACAATGTAAAACAAAATCAATCATTTATTTGTTATAATGTTAACATCTTGCTCACTGCTTTGTAATCCCAATAATTCTCTAATAATCATCTAAAGAAGTGGTCTCAAACTTGTTTATCCAGGAGCCACACGAGGTCGAAGCAGGGCCACATAAGGAGTATATTTAGTACGTGTTTGTGAGTGTGGAATATATATGAACGTTGAGGCAAACAGATCCATGCACGGCAGAGACAGAATCAAACCACTAACATTGCACACGCTATTTTACTTTTGCACTTTAGCTCCTGGATAAATGTAATACACTGCTATAGTATTTAGTGTAAGTTTGGGGTTGTAGAACAGAGTTAATTGTTTGTATCTTTGACTTATTTATAATAATGAAGTTGTTTTGAACATGGGTTTGATATCATTTTAATATATTTCAAGGAATAAAATGAGTCCAGCTGCTTGGATTGAAACAAAACAGGACGAAAAGCAAGTGGGCAAGTTTTCAAGAAAGTGGGGGCCAGTGGTCCGCTGTGATTGGTCACAATCTGGTCCCAAAATAATAATAGTTAAATAGCGAAAACTTGATCTAAAATAAAATGATACTCCAGTACAAACCTGCGCTATTTATTCTTCAAAAGGACTTATATCCCAATGCACTGCATGGATATGGACAGAATATTCCTAATAAATTCAAAAATAAAGTGAGGTAATCCAGCTTTAAGTTAGAAGTGTGGCTAACCACAACAAATCGATTCACTTTGAAGCATGGATAACCAATTCAAACATGTCGCCATCGGCACAACAGCTATTCATTATAAGATGTAAGTAAAAATTACAGATATTTGGGAAAAGGATTAAAAGTGAGGAGTCAAACTAAAATGTTAAAAAATAAGTAAATAATAAAGAAAAATGATTTTAAGCACAGAACTTAAGTAAAAATACTTAATTACTTAATAATTCTGTGGCTAGCATGGCTCTAGTGCAGGGCAGGGCCTGGCACTAGGGAGGGGTACCCCATTATACCTTCATATAAGTTTACTTTGGTAAATGGAATAAGCAAAATGTTGTTTTACGGTTTTATAAACAAGGTGAGTGGGTTTGATATTCATTTGAGATTCTCTTTAGTCTCCAGAAACACAGACTGCACTTCCTGATGTCTGTAATTGTCACTCGGAATGGGAATTTGCTTTTATTCAAATAATCACGTGGTTATTTCAACAAAAGAAAAAATATATTGAACAGGGACTAAACAGGAATAAACTCGGAATACATTTTAGTAACCGATACAGAATCATGGGTCAAAGCCAACACAACATGTCTTCATTAAGTCAGCCAATATACCATGATGAGAAAAGACAAGTGTCCTACCTTGTGGCAGCAGCAGGAGCACGGCGGTGAGGATGAACAGATGCATGTTGGAGATGGTGTCTCTGGTGCGTCTGCTGCCCCATGGAGCTTTTATCCTCTGAAACCACTCCCTCTGAAGAACTTTGTGTTGTCTCACTACTGCTGCAGCTGCTGTGACAAACTGGAACCATATTTCAATAATAGGAAGACAGTTAAATAGTGGAAAGAATTGAAAAAGATAAAATAATCTCAAGCCACTTTTAAGTCACAAAGTATCAACTATATACTGGTGTTTGGTGTTATCACTACTTTTCACATGGCTTCTCTTTTCAGCTCACAATCCAAAGAGCTCACAGGGCTCTTTCTTTCAAGTACGCAAAATACTATCATGAAGACAGCATAATGTCCTCCGATTTGTTCACAAAATGATACGTTTTACTGTTTTTGTTGGAACAAAAACAGTAAAGATGCAGTGAGCCAAAAATGTATTTAGTCAGCCACCAATTGTGCAAGTTCTCCCACTTAAAAAGATGAGGGAGGCCTGTAATTTTCATCGTAGGTACAGTATAATTCAACTATGAGAGACCGAATGGGAAATGAATCCAGAAAATAAGTATTTGGTCAATAACAAAAGTTCAGGAATGTAATGCGGCAGTGGCTCAGTTGGTAGAGCATCGGCCTTTGTACCTGTTGGTTGTAGGTTCAAATCCACCACGAGGCCTACTTCATGACTCCCACTAATGTGAACTGGGTGCAGCTCTGACTGCCACCCCCCGACCCAGAAATGGAATAAGGGGAAAAAAATGTAGATGGATGGATGGATGGTAATGCTGATCGGTTAAGTTTCTGTCCCTGTTTGACTGAACAGGAAATGTTTTTAAAGGAAATTATTTTGTATTTAAATATTTAGCTCAATAACAATACTATTATAATACTACAATAATATTTTAATATATTATTTAGCTGGTAATTTGTAAATTAATAATATAAGTGTGGAGCCAGAGTCTGTTCTTGATGTAGTTGTAACATGGTGAGCAAGATTTAGCATAATCAGTTTTTAAAAATTCTAAACAGTTCATACAGAAAGAATTACAGATCAATGTTTGAAAAAAATGTTGACAAAACAAAAAAATTGATTTCTGTGTATTGGAAATTTGAGTTGAAATAAGAGGAATATACTGTATGTCTAAAATTATGTATTTAGATTTTTTGTTTTAGAAATCTATTTTCTAATTTTACAGAATTTAATTTGATGTTTAATAATAATATAATATTTAATACATAAAATAAATGCAGTGACTTTGCATTGTTTTATTTTTAGGTTATGTTATGTTGTTTTATTTTTAGGTCAATTAATAACAATTATATAAATTAATTCTTTGTAATTTATATTCTTTGTAAATAATAATATAATATAAATGTTGAGCCCATAGCTTAAAAATAAAATAATGCAAAGTCACTGCGTTTATTTTATTTATTAAATTATTTAATGTAGTTCATTTTGTTCATCCATTCTTTTGAGTCTACGTGTGTAAATGACCACATTGAAAATGATTAAGTCTCTTGTTTCACAAATGCAGCTAAAATATCCAGGACAAAACGTTTGAATCTGAAAAGACAGAGAAGAAGCAATTTCCTTGTAAAACAAAAGTGAATGCAAAGGAAACGGCCTAAAGGCTTCGGTTTGAACAAGAGGAAATAGCACGAAGTTTCAGACTGCAGAATGAAGAAGATACACCTCCATTTGAAGAATCATTCATAATTCAGCTGCAGGAGAATATGATGTGTGTCATCAGCCAAAGCAAATAAACATATTGTGTTTCTTGGCCTGTTTTGAACTCCTTGAATCTTAATAATTTTAATGGACTTGAATTTGTTTTTACATAGCTCTGAATCAGAAGTCTGAGATGCAACATCCTCAGAACTAATACTGTGTGGTTAAAATGGACATAATTATGGAGGTCAGTGATCCAAACATTGCTGAACCAGAGTGTCAAAGTGCCATCCTGGATTCCTGAGTTGTTTGTCACTTCTGTGACTTTTATCCAAAAGTGTATGGCTCTAGAGATACTATTGTCAGGTGCAGTGTGTTATCTGAGATGAACACTCAGCATTTAGAGCTGCTTAAATCATATCAAGGGCTAATCTATGTTCCCAGGTCATCCATGATGTTGGGGACAGTTGCTCTGAATTTGATTCTCTGATCTGTGTTGGAAAATTGAAAGCTTTGTAAAGTCCTCCTATATAACCACTGTTGTGATGAAGGGCTATACATAAATAATTTGCTTTTATCTATTTCTATCTTTACTATTACAACTTGTTTGCACCTTGAGCCAAAGCAAATTCCTAGTTTGTGACTTCCTGTCACTTACAATGGCAATAAAAAAGTATTCTGATTCTAATCCTGATGATCTGATGATGGTATTAGACGGATTACATTGTATAGTTATGATTTTAGCTCATAAGGGCAAATGTGTTAATGGACAATAGAGAAGGGAAAATCCCACTTGTATTTCTGCATGTCCTGCCTTTTGCACACCTTGAGTGATACTATTTATGCCAAATGTGACATGTAAATTGCTCCATTGTGAGATCAATAAAGTCTATCTTATCTTATGGATTAATGGCTCTATGTGTTTGGTTTTTTTAATCAATGCATTTCTTGTGTGTGAACTTTAATTCTCTGATCTGTGTCGGTTTTCTTCCGATATAACTTCTGTTGTGATTAACGGCTAAACAAGAATAAATTAAATGTAATTAAAATGTATTTTAAATTAATTTGGATTAATTAAATTTAAATTTAATTTGGGCAGCAGAGTGGCTGAGTGGTTAGCACTCTCGCTTCTCAGCAAGAAGGTTCTGGGTTCGAATCCCGTTTCGGAACAGGGACTTTTGAGTGGAGTTTGCATGTTCTGCATAGGTTTCCTCCGGGTACTCCGGTTTCCCCTACCACTCATAACATGTACAATAGTTTGTAGGAATGTTTAGCAAATGTTATTGCTGGCAAAGATTGTGGCGCTACTCCCCACGGGCTCCATTAGCGGCAAAGGAGATGGCTAGGCTAAATGCTAAATGCTAACAACTCACTCGGGCTCATTACATACGTCACGGTAAACTCAGATCCAATCGTTTCAATCTGCAAAAGGAGTTAACCCCTCCCACCTGTTAATGGAGCTCAATGGAGCACCTCCAGACCTTAGTACGAAATGTAATTTGTACTATGGTGTAGTACTGTCCCAACCAAATAAACAATAAATAAATGAATGTTTTGAACGATTGCTTTTGTGTAATAAAGATAATTACAATCCTCACAAACAATTAAGCAATATAACAGCAATGCAAAAATTGAATCAATATTGAGCTATACAGTAGTTTTAAAAGTAAGGAAAGTCTTTTAGTTCTAAGGCAGTATTCAAAAACATACTTTTGTTGACTTCTGGTGCTTAAAAACTTCTTTTGATATCACAAACCTACATTTGATGCCAAATCAGGCAAATTCAATGGAAAAACAGTAAAAAGCCCAAGAGCCACAAACTTCAGAGCAGAGAGAGAGAGCTGCTGCGATCAAGGGTGGGACCATTACCCTGGCAACGCACAGCTTCATACACACACACACGCACACGCACGCACCCAGGCTCGAAAGCAGTGATTTAAGCGAGACTGCGTGATCAGAAGTACTTTAAACTAGTCTAAAATCAAGTCCAGAATCGGCCGATTTCAAAACCTTTTGTGACAAAGATTCATACTTCTTCAAGTAATTTTGTTTTGTTTTTAAGTTTTAGACCAGTGGTTGTCAAAGTAATCCCGGGGTGTCGCAGGATCCCACCACGGGTGCCTGAGATGATTTTCGTAAAAGATACAAAAGTGGAACAAATATATATATCCCTTCAATATTTTTTTTTACAATGATTTGCTTCAATAGGACTACTTGTTGATTGTGTTTGGAGAAGAGCGTCAATAAAAATCAATCACGTAGCAAATAATACAGTACCTGCTTAAAATGAAACTGTGATCAATATCCATAACAGAAAAAATGCGCCAGAGGTGAGGCCGATTGATGGTGCGAATACTGCGGTGGAGAGAACATCCGAGAGGGCAGCGGAGAACAGAGACGGCGAGCAGCTCTTACCTTTTCTCTTTGTCAAACCAGATCCAAGTACTGGTCAACCAAACGTCTTTTCAGATTTTTTCAAGTCCAGGCCCAAGAAATACAGACTTCTGGGATGTGAAAGGCTGCAGATAACATGTTGCTCCCTCTCAATGAAAGGACCCAAAAAAAACAAGGCCAAGAGGGGCTCCTTATTGCCGTCGCCTCCTCCACCAAATCTGTTCTCTGTCTTCTGAGAAATGAGAAATGAATGGGTTACAGTCTTCTGAGCAATGAACGGGTTACAGCGATCGCACCTGTAACCCAATCGCACCTGTGACCCTGTTTATTGTCGAGTCAGAACAAAAGAAGACAACGCTCTTTATATGAGACGTCATCACTTGAGATATGAATGACGCATGCTTAAGATATTGACACTAGTAACAATGTGGGACAGAAAAAAGACGTTCGGTTCTTTAGATAATAATGTTTTAGCAGTAATACAGATATATAACAGAAGTCCAAAGAAAACATGCAGGTCAGATTCCGCAAGGCCATGCCCTGCTTAGCTTCAGGGGTCTGACAGGATCTGGCTTTCACATACAAGTATTGCCACCTGCATGGTATTTATCACGTGACAAGACCAGGCTAGCTGCAAACATCCCTACCAACTGTAGGGCTGAGCCAACAGTTCAAAAGATTAAAAAATAACAAATATTGTAATGTAATTTTACCTCAAACTCACTTAGCGACAAGAGGGTTCTAATGGAGATGGCATCATGGGTCCGAGGGGAAGAATTTATGTCTCACAGTTTTGTAGAAATGACTGGTCCAGAATCAGACACCGTCACGTCATTCATCTGTCTCAAGATTTAGCTTAAATACAAGATTTACCTTAATGTTTGGTCCTGTCAGAGCACAAGAATACATTGAATTTCCACACACCAAAAAACGGACAAAATCTTGGTATTAATCCCCCCCAAAAAAAACTAGTCCTCTCTGTAGTAAGTAAGTATGTAATAGATAAAATAAAAATAATAATGGTATACCGCTGTTGAACCAGGGATGTCCCACTGAGAGTCCTGGCCCCAGGGAGAGAGGAGCCATTATAATATTTAAATATAAAGCACATTTCAGAGGTCATACATTTCCATTCCTTCCACACTGTGACAACAAGACATTCGGACCTATTGAACCGCTTTTTAGTGGTATGGGAAACTGGAGCACCTGAAGGCACAGGTAGAAGATGCAAACTCCACCCACCGAATCCGGGACATTTTGATTTTGAAGTGAAAGTGCTAATCACTGCCCCACTGTGCCATAGTTAGTAACACAAACAATTCCCACATACTTTTGGAGTGTCAGCAAACAATTTGTCAACAATACAATGCTATGGTTGCTGAACTATTGAACTGTGACAAGTATCCCCTGTCTCTTCTACTAAACACAAGAATTCAAGATAGACCACATGAAAGCATTTCTAGTAGATATATTGAGGGCTTTGTTATGTATAGTGCAAGTCACAGTGATCCAGTGCACAGAAGTCTGTGGTTTCACTGAAACATAATTCACTGCTGGCGCCTGCTCTCATCTGCACCAGTTTTTGATCCGTTTGTGCAAATAGTGACGTAAGTGCAAATGCAAGAGGAGACAAATGAAACAAAGGGAAAAAACCATAAAAACATTAAATTAACTTCAATAAAGCCAGACTGTAGTGGCGATTTGTCCATAATACACAGTGTTTTATTTAGCGCACAATGCCCCAATCTAAGCCTAGTCATGACAATTTCTTCCCTCCGATGGCCCCCCTGCCTTCTGCCATCGCTCACCACTTTCTGTATGGGATAAAAATGCCTTCCGGAGGTCCCTGTCTCTATTCCTGAATTAACCGCTTCCACACCACACTCTTTGCTTCACTCTTGCTACTTTTCACACCCATCTCTTTCTTTCTCCAGAGCCAGCAAAACAACTCGATTCCAACTGTGATGTGAGAAGCCCGCCTCCAGGAGATGATTGACAGCGGGGAGAAACCAAAACAGCGAATCAGCGCAGTCTATGATGATCACATGCAGCCTCTCTCCGAGTCCAGCTTCTGGTCCATTTACTGTAAATATTAGTATGGTCCCGCGCCTAACACCCATAGACTGTGTTGTTTTGTGTTGGCATCATGTGACTTGGAGAAAATTATCTTTTGGATGTCAGTATATGGAATGACAGTGGGCATTTCTCTATACAAGAAATGGCTATATAAGTTTTGAGTGTTGAATGGTGTATCAGCCACATTATTATCATCACTTATGTGCTTAGAATGGACTGTGAAAAATGAAGAGCGGAATACTGTATGGGACATTTAAGGTTGACCTCAGTAAAAGAAGCAATAAGAACTATGGAGGGGCCATTTTTTGCCATGAGTGAGAGCTGTTTCCTGAGCTGTGAGCCCGTACCTTTGCTTTGTTTCATACAGCCTTCAGAGCATGATATTCATTCATTTATTTTCTACCCCTTTATTAGTCCATTTCTGGGTCGGAGGGGTGACAATAAGAGCTGCCACTTAATGCTCATAGCACCAGTCCCTCGCTGATCCTCTGAAGGTGGTGAGTCCACAGGAAGATGGCTGCTGCATCGGTAGTGCCATAGCCTTGGTGTTTCACCAGGAGCTTCAGGCAATGTGACGTTAAGTGTCTTGCCCAAGGACACAACAACAGTAGACGTTAGTGAGAGCAGTTGGAGTAGGTCCCGAGGTGGGCTCGAACCCACGACCTTCCAGCCCAAAGGACCATTCAGAGCAGGATATAAAACACAGGCTGATGTGGTTTGATCAGACACTTTTCTGCTGTTTTTATGGGCCTATTGTGCACATGCAAGCTGCCTGTTTGTTAAAATGTGGTTCATGGCTTATTTTCTAAACGGACAAAGTAGAAGCTAACAACTTTAAGCAGATATAATGTTAGATTATTTTCCCCAGCCACCACTAATGTTATTGCATAGCTTTATTTTTGTGGTTAAAAAACAAGGTACCTCACATTCTAAAGAAACATTTATTTTCAAAGAATGCAACTGAAAAATAGAATATTGTACAAGAATATTGTACATTCAAGGTGACATTTGCCTGTGTTTGTTATGTTGTTGATAATTCTGGCTCATCGTCCATTTCCAAAATATTCACAATTTTGGGAAGGTTTGATTTGACCAGCCTGGGCCAATTCGCAACTTCATAAGACACAAAGGCTTGATATATCTCACTTTGCGTGTAATGAGTCTGCCATGTATTTGTTTAACATTGTAAGTTGAATTACAGAAGTGAATGGACTTTTAAAGGATATTCTTTTTTTCAGAGTCCAAGAAGACAAACAATGCACCACAGTTCTTCAACATTTTTTATGTCCCCCAAAAACAATTGATGTTACTTCAAGAGCATTAAGTATTTTAGGCATATGGGATGACGAAAACTCTGACACATATTTGAGAGTCTTGATGCAACAGGAAGTGAAGTTAAAGAGGTTTTAGTTTGACCAAACCAATAGTGAGAGTACCATGGTGGAGATCAGCAGGAGATTGGTGCTGATGCTTGTGCTCCCGTTGCAGAAGTCTCCCTCACAGCAATCCAGAGGCCTTATTTTGGACAACAGCAGCGGAGAAGGATCCACACACAAGCTCTTGGTGGCACAGCCTTTGACAATTTCATCTCCGACTAAGAAAGAACAACAATAACAATAATAATATAATAACAATATTCAAATTTGATTTAAAAAAAATTAATAAATAAAAGATACATCAAAGTACATCATATATCAAATAAACAGGGGTAAAGGGGTTAAAAGCTCTCAAAAGCCCATAGGCCTGCTTAAACAGGAAAGTTTTTAAGCGTATTTCTATGACCTCCAGACTGAGGTGCCCCCAGAGTTTCTGAGAGGGCGTTCCAGAGGCTGGTGGAGGCAGTGGGTGAAGGTTGAGTGGAGGTGGTGTATCCTTGGAACCGCAGAGTTTATGGGAGCCAGTGGAGGGAGCAGAGGACAGGAGCTACGTGGTCATATTTGCATCTGGTTTGTTCAGTGAGTAAAAAACATACACACATTTGATACATATTTTAAGAAATGTGTGATCCTGGATTGTTCACCTTGCTACCATCTGGTGGTGCTGATCTAAGCTCAGCCAAGAGAATGTGAAAAAGTTTTTGTGAAATATTATGCAAATCAACTGTTTTTTTAGTTGTTTTAACTCATCATAGAGATAGGGCAGGTGGAAAGCGTTGTTTACCCTTCACACTCCTTTCACAATATATATTTTCTATAGTACATCATTTCATGATTTAGGCTAAAAGTATCATTATAATTTTCTCATGGCCAAAAATAAGGAACAATGGTTTTTCTTTGAATCAGGACTAATGATTTGTTAATTGTGTGTGTCATAATGTTTTTATAACCTTAATCTTTGGTTGACAATTTTACTTTAAAAATATTACTGTCCATACTCTACTGGCCAACCCTGTGGTATTATCTATAGTCATTTTAGTTAAATGAGCAAACACTTTTACAACAGCCCCCCTTAGAATAATATTTCCTTGAGGAGAATAGTTAACCCAATAGGGAGGGACTCAAATGCATCCATGCAAGAAGCAGGAGGGGTGGTTCTAACTGGTCCTTGAATTTAAAAACATCTTTTCATCTTAACAATTTGAAAAGTAACTCACCTTCAATTTAATGGGTCTTAACTATGATGTGCTATTACACTAAAAATGTCATCAGCTAATTTCCAGAGTAAAATAAAGTAGCATCACTGCATGTGGCGTACTTTTGCCAGTGGCGCAGTAGGTCTGCTGGTTGTCACAGTTCAGTGTCCCGGTACAGTCCCCCTTCCCATCGCAGCGGAAACACTTCTTCCCGTTGGGGTTGGGTTTCAGGTCCGCTGCAGAAGATAATCATTCAAGATTTAGTTTATTTGTCATTTTTAAACACATTGGAATGCTTGTGCATGTGCACCCATTGTGCACCAGAGACAACAACATAAGACTCTGAAAAAATACATGGAAACTAAAAGTACATCAATACAGTTTTTCTTCTCAAAACTATTAGTTGGTCTAAAGATGTGACAGAGGCATGTGAAAAGTGCTTTCAGAGCGAGGAACCAATTAGATGGACTGTTTTGCATGTTAATGCTGTTTAGAGGTTAGGAACCCCAGTTTTTGGATTACATTAGAAGTAAAGAAAACATAGCATTCTTAAATTTGAGTCTCTTTGACACCTGTGGCTCATTTTGAATATTTTAATTCGGAATTACATCCTGGTGTATTTGCACCCTTTACATCCACTGAAACGCATGCAACTCTGAAACTTCAATATGCACATAATTAACGTTCAAATCACAATTTATGGAATTATCTAATCAAATCCAACTAAGTGAAACTGTAGTTCAGAGCTTTAGATCAGCTTTTTCAGAAAAAAAAGAGAGGTTTACCCTCACCCACCAATCAGCTCTCAACCCAAAAAGACAAAGATCTTAGGGCTCTTTCTACAAAAGACTTGACATTTCCAACAAGATGAAGTCATTTTTAAGTAAGTAAGTAATCTTTATTTATATACCGCCTTTCACAGACCAGAGTCACAAAGCGTTTTGCAATAGTGGTGGGCATTTGTCTCTCACGCCATAGAGTGATGGGAGTGCGGTCGACGCATGCCAGAACTATTGTACATGTTTTTAGTGGTAGGGGAAACCAGAGAGAGGGGTAGAACATGCAAACTCCACTCAGAAAGGCCCCGTTCCGACTGGGATTCAAACCTTCTTGGTGAGAAGTGAGAGTGCTATCCACTCAGCCACCAGACATGAAGAAAGCATGTCTGATTTGTTCAAATTTGTTGGGACAAACAATATGCATTCCAGATTATATGAGACAGAAAAGTTTGGCTCCCCAGCTTTACGTGTTCAGGCCTGACTCTTACCCTGTGGCGGCTGCATTGTGTTGCAGTTGTCTGTGCGGCAGCAGCTGCTTGTTGCAAATGTCCTCAGGATCCCAAAGTTGAAGGCTGCTTCCTTGCAGTGGTCAGGCTTGGAGCAGGCCTTTATCAGGCTGTCAGACTCCAGTGTGTTTCCTGTTCCATAAAACATGAAGCTTGAGGCTACGGACCACAAACTCTGAAGGCATTTGTCCTCATACCCTTGTAGTTAAAGATCTTCATGACCACACAATCAGTGGACTCAGCCGGACACTGGATCTCCGAGCCATCACACGTGCCCCCAGATACGCTGCACTCTTTACATTTGAGTGAAAAAGCTGAAAGCACAAAGACCAAACAATCTGACCCGCATGTTTTGGACTTTGGACTTCTGTTATGTCTGTACTACAGTGGCCAAACCTGCAGGTGAAAGCCAGATCCTGTCAGACCTCTGAAACTAAGCAGGGCCTGGTTAGTACTGTGATGGATAACTGGTTGCCACACTGGGGCAGCTACGGCTGTGTCAAAAGTGTCCCTGTGTAGTTAGGCAAGATACTTTGCCTAACACCCACATCGCCTAGAATGAGTCTGGTGATTGGTTGGTGGTGGTCAGAGACACTGGTTATCTCGCTGTTGTCAGTGTGCCCCAGGGCAGCTGTGGCTACATTTGTAATTTAACACCACCTTGTATGGAGTGAAAGAATAATGTCATGTGTCCAGAAAAGTGCTATATAAAACTTATTCATTATTATTATTAAACATTGTTGTCTCTTATTATCTAAACCCACAACGGGGAAGAAATGCTTCACAGGTCTGTTAGGAAAGATGCACTGTGATTAAAGTGACTAATGGACATAACTTCTTTCTGCCCAAGTGAACCAGACTTGGTCCAGTTAAAATGAACGAGACAAACACACCCTTTTAACAGTTCTCATGACGTCACTGAATTGTTTTAATAGAAGTTAACTTAATTTGAGGCCAAATGTGCATTTTCATTTCCATGAATCTGTTATTTTATTTTACCCTTTGCTTTTATATTAAAGTTGCATGACACAATTTCTGTGAAAGCTACAGAAAGCATCTTACAAAACTAAATCCTAAATACGTTCATATTTGCTGGAAGTGATGTCTTTATTTGAATTGATGTAAACATGGAAACATTTATCTGCCATTGCTTGTCTGATAAATCAAGTCTTTTTATTAATTGTTCCAACTTTTTCCTAAACATGAAATATTTTTTTGTAATGAACATCCCTGCTTTAAACCGAGAGCCTATAAAAACACTTACCTTGTGGAATAAGGACAATTCCAGTGATGAAAAGAAACAGAAGCATGTCGAAGACGCTGTGTGTTCTGTACCTGCAGCGCTTACACTGAAACATGTGGCCACTCCCTTTGGAATGGGGAACAAGAATGTGCTTTATACCCTTTCATTAAAAGACGTCATTTGAATAGAGCAACTGAAGTTGGTAAAGCATTGGCCTTTGGGCCTGAAGATCAAGGGTTCGGCCCCCCCACGGAACCTACTCCAACTGCTCCTACTGGTGTTTGCTGTTGTTGTGTCCTTGGGCAAGACACTTAACCCCACATTGCCTGAAGCCCCCGCTGAAAGAGCGAGGCTGTGTCATTGCTGACGGATCAGAAGCCATCTTCCCGTGGACCCACCATCTGCAGAGGATCAGCGAGGGACCGGTGCTATGAGCATTGGGTGGCTGCTCTCATTGCCACCCCCCGACCCAGAAATGGATTAATAAAGGGGTTAAAAATGAATTAATGTTTTTTTATGGGCAACTAAATATACTATGTTAGGCTCCCTCACCAGTACATTGACTATATTTTTCAATTTAAAAAATGTTCAAACACCTTAGTACCTCTTCTAAAGGAAGTGGTAGTTAATGTCAAACAGTTGGGAAGACAATGGGTCCCTGAGGTTTCTCGCCTTTGCACTGGGTTTTAGAGTTTTTCCTCACCGATGCAGGAGGGTCTGTTTGACTGTTAGAGGGTCTAACTAAAAAGTACAGTGGTGATGATCAAGGACACTCAATTCAACATTCAACAACATTTATGGTCGTTGGTCATCTGCCCCTTTTGGACCAATGGCTCTATGTATTTTTATCATTGCTGTTTGATTCTCTGATGGGTTAAGGTGAATTCAATGGTTTTGTTCCCCGAGATACAAGAACAAATTGAATTGGATTGAAGTGAATTAAGTAAATACAGGGAGTAAAATCCTAAATAAAACATACCTGTCATGACATACAACAGTTATATTACAGTCTATGTACTTTAACATTATGGTTACATAATGTGAAAGTATAATGTTAAATTACTATTAGATAATGGTGTTTATAATGTAATGCAATAATGTAATGTACTATAATATCATGATGTTTTTTTATTTATTTAAATTTGTTTTATTGTTTACATCTTTATCATTGATTCTTACATACATAAAGCTGGCAGACCTGTATATTTACATTTGTTTTGTCTCTGAATGGCACTTTGCAAACTGAATAGATATTCATAAACGCTCCCAACAAAGCTCTGTGCTCTCTCTGTCTCTCCAAATCTCTACACATAAATCGTCCAACCCACCCTCCTCTACTGCTCCCAGTTACTTCAACATGCTCTCCATCACCAACAGACACGAACTCACTAAAGTCACACACAGGCCTCGCCCACCTTGACCTCACAGCAGTAACCTGTACGGCTTGGACAGTGAGCAGAGACTCAGACCACCCTCTCCACACCCTCGTCCCTCTGCTGTCCTCAGGACGCAGACACAGAACGTTAAGGTGGAAGCGGCAAAGATTCAACAAAAGTTACGGGAACATGGACAGCACTACTGTGTATAAAACATACAAAATAAACAGTAATGTAATGTAATTTCCTTCTTCTGTGTTCCATGTATGAGACTGTGCCTGTGGAAAGTAATTTACTTCAGGGGACAATAAAGCTCTATCCATTTAAAATACAATGTGATATATAAATAAAGTAGATAGGAGGGGCTGGGTCTGTGGGCGAATGGTTTACATTTCTTCTTTATTTATGGGGCGGAACGGTGGCTGAGTGGAGAGCACTCTCGCTTCTTGGCAAGAAGGACCTGGGTTCGAATCCCCGATGGAACAGGATCTTTCTGAGTGGGGTCTGCATTTTTCCCCGTGCCTGCGTAGGTTTTCTAGGGGTGCTCCGGTTTCCCCTATCACTAAAAACATGCTCACTAGGTTAAATCCTCCAGCTCCAGTAGTCCTGACCAAGCCGAGCATCAACATCTGGAGATGGGTTCCCGGGCGCTGTTACTACAGCGACCACTGCTCCTGACATAAGCCTTAGGGCATCAGGATGGGTCAAATGCAGAGGATGAATTGCCCTACAGGGATTAATAAAATGCACCTTTACCTTTATTTAATAAATGTTTAGTTTACATTTTTGGTTAAATATTACTCATGTTACTGCCTTTTGTTTTGTTTTTTTCAAAGATGTTTTGTCTTTGTTGGACTCCTTTATGCAAAAGCAAAGCTAATTCAGTTTAATTTATTTTGTATAGCCCTAAATCCATACACCTGTTATCTCAGAGGACTTTACAAAGTTGTTGATTCGCCAACACAGAGAGAATCAAACAAATTAGACTGAAATGCTAAAATAAAATAAGTCATTGGTCCATAGGGACAGATGAACAATGTTCATAAATATTCTGGATTATTATTATTGTCTTTTTTTTCATAAATCATTTTCAATAGTATTTTTATTACTGATATAATTGAAAGTGGTTACTTAATATAATAAATAAGCAAAACAATAATCTAAGACAACGTTAAAAATAATTTGCAGGTATCGCACTGAATGTGATGTGTATCCAGTTTGTAGTATTCAAAAAAACATTTAAACGAGATGAAAAAGAAGGTAAAATAACATGGCTGGCCCAGTGGTGCAGTGGTTAGCGCTTGTGTTTCACTGCAAGACGGTTCCTGGGTTTTAATCCACCTCCATGCCTTTCTGTCTGGAGTTTGCATGTTCTCCCTGTGTCTGCGTAAGTTTCCTCCGGGAGCTCCGGTTTCCCCTACCACTAAAAACATGAACAGCGACTGTGGGACAACAGATGAAAATGAGCCCAAGGCGACAATCTGGAGGTGAGTTCCTTAAAACGCACTGTCCCAACCAAACAAATAAACAAAAAAATAGCTGTTTAATCATGTACAAAAAAGTGTTTCAACATATTCTACATAGCGATCCACACAATGTCACTTTGGCGTGTTGAGACAGCGATCGCGTGTGTAATGCCCCGAGCGGGAGATGCTGAAGAGGATATGAGGGTTCATTTCAGGACGCGAGAGAGAGCGAGAGCGAGAGAGAGAGAGAGAGAGAGAGCTCCGTCCTGTCAGTGTTCATTCTGCAGCCGCTCCTCACGTTCCCCAGAGCTCAAGACGATAATGTGGTTAGGAGAGGAGCCTGCTGTACTCCGACAGAGCAGAGGACTTCTTCACACCGTCCCAGATGCGCGCTGCGTAATGGAACCTGTGAAAAACACACAAAACACGGATGAGGATTGGGAAAGACTTTATTTTTACACATTCGCATTTTTTCATGATCGTCACTCAAAGTCTGGTTTTTTAGCTTATGTATTATTAGAATATATGGTCAAAGTCAAACAGGCATCAACGGTAAACAACGCCATAGGCCCTAACCCTCAATATTAGAAAATGACACAAAACACAAACATGTGATGTAAAGATAAAACAGTATTATGTGGTGTTTACTGTGAATGTGTATTTATGTGAATAAAATGTTTATGTTCTCACTTATATATGAAGCTCCAGAGTTTGAAGTCTGGATTTCCGACACCATGTTTAAGCCAATTCATACATCGCAAGTATTTACAGCATTTACATCTGACTATGTTGTTGCTCCATTTGCCAAGCTACAAAAACCGCAGAACTGCTGCTGCAACCACAGATTGACCTCATTTTGTTCTACATTTCGATGTGCAAAAACTAAGTTCTGGCTGAATTAAAAGAGTGGACATTAAATTGCACTTGCTTTTTATTATTTGGCTGACTGAAGAAATAAACAGAATCTGGAAGTGGATTTTGTTAGTCCCGTCCTCTTTAAGCGAACTTAGTCATAAAGGTTAGTACTTCTGCAGATTCCCAGGCACAGAAACAGTATTTGCAGTGTATATTTACCAGTTTTTTTCAGTGAGGATGGTGTGTGAGAGCTGGGAGCGGGGCATGGCCAGGATCTGACTGCGGAGCTTTGAAACCAGAGCAGAGAAGGTGGGGTGTCCTCTGTAGCCAGGGAGTAAGGAGAAGAGAGGGTACGTGCCTGCGCCTGGAGGAGACGAGCAAACCACTGCTGTTTATTAAAATATTCACTAAACTTGTCGAGAGTACACGAACAATGCTTATGTGACTCTTTACAAGCTGTGATATCTAACTTTCAAACCCAAATATAAATCTATGTAATAAAATTCATCAAAAGAGTTTCTCGCTCTCCAAACACTTTTGTTCTACCAATAGAAATGAAATCTCCTGAACTTTCGCTACAAAAACAAAAGAGTAGGAGTCTACCAAAAAACTATACATTTCAAAAGATAATTTATGTTATATCTTAAAATACAAAATTTTTTTGTCAAATTTGTATTTAATTTGTTTAATACAAATGTATATATTTTTAGTCTTGACACCTTGGACTTGAATAACAAATCATCTTCAATAAACTGAATATAAATTGAATATAAATATATCAATATCAGTATTTCTTGTTCGAGTTTGGCTCAAGGTTAGATAAGGAAACGAAATACTTCAACAAAATTCCCCTAAGATAAGATCAGACAAGATGAACCTTTATTAGTCTCACAGTGGAGAAATTTCAGTGTCATCGTTGCGCACATTACAGCAGAGAAAGGAAATAAGAGCTCTCAGATTGCACACATCAAATAAGTCTATTATTTAAGATAATAGACAATAAAATTAAGATAAGAATAAAATAAAATAAAATAAACTCTATAATTGCACTTGGTTCAAAAGTATTTACAGATGTCTATGTACTTTAGCAGCGTATTGTATCAGCAGGTTCTGAAAGAAACCCTGCCTTACAAAATAGATCCTGCCTTAACTTTAAATTAAATTATTGTGAATTTGAACCATTTGCACCAAATACAGATGACAAAGTGATAGAAGTCTGTTAAGAGTGAGAAGTAAGAGAGGAGAGAGAGGTTCTATTCCCAAACAAAGTATATGGACATTGCAGCACTATAGTAGTAATTATCATGAAACGTACATGCAGGCATTTAAAAAGCCTCACCTGCTTTGCTCAAGTTGTCCTCCTCGGTCTCTTGCACAGGAAGCAGAAACATATTGACCTCATTTTCAAAATATTCTGATTTCAACCCGGGGAACACGTTACAGTCCAGCATCGATAAAGTGCCTGAGAAAACAACAAAAGGATCCATTTCAGCAAAGACAAAGCACTGCCCTCAGCAAACCTCACTGTAATGTTCTGTGCATGTCAAAATTATTTTTTTTTACTTCCTGATTGTATATCAAGACATGACCCTGATGCTACAGTTTTTACCAAGCAGAGACATACAAAAATGCCAATTATACTCAATACATTGGCTTTTAAGGGCTGTGAAGGCCATAGACTGTATACAGATGGACTGTATACAGATGGACAACGCTAACCCCCCAACTCAAAGTAGCCCAATAGGGAAGTGCTCATGGACGAAGTTTTGCTCTTACACTCTCTGATTTAAATTAAAAAGTAAACTTATCTCGTTAGTCGTTATATTAGTTTTTAATCCTCATATCCTCAGTCTTATGAGCGTACTATCTTTCCTCTACCCCAGGTTTTACTCACTGTCTTTGGCAAATATCTTTTTTCTCAATCACTGATATACAGAGGACTCACACAGTCATTTTGCTCAAAGTAAAATATATATATATATCGCCACTGCATCTAGATATGAACCACATAGTTAGTTAAGAGTCATCGGGGTTGTAGATTATCATATTTTACAGAACAGAATCGGGTTTTGTGTCCTTTCAGATAGTCAGGATTCCTTTTGCTTTCAAATAAATAATGCCCACGCAATTCTGCCAACTAATCTGCCTAACAGATTCTGGAAAGAAAATAGGTGAACAAATTAAGTTAAAGGGAGTGTCCTGGTGGATGTAGTGGATAAAAAAAAAGACTCAAACATGCTCTAAAAACAACGTGAAAAGTTGCTTTCTGCTTTGCTCGTGCACCTTTGTATTTGAGGTGAGAGTGAGCCATGAGCTTGTCCACCACCAGATGCATGTTCTTCAGATTCCTGGGGCAGAAATCGTCGCGTCTTGCCTTGTTCTGCAGAAACACTGGAGTGGAAGAGCAGGTTCGAGTGAATGGCAGTTTGTGAGTGCGTGATAGTGAACGGGGAGAACGCTCTTTAAACCTATGTGTGGGTAGTACTCGGCGCCGTCGTCTTTGCCCGAGGAGCCGGAGCTGTCGTGGCTTGCAGAGGGAGTGGAAGGTTTGAGCATCTCTGCCGTCTGTAGAAACCTTACAACAAAAACACATTCTAAGTCAGTTTCTTTTAATTGTCTAAATTAAATTGAAACAAAAGATGTGAAAAAGACATATGTATGGCGATCCTTCTGTATGTTTAAATGGGATTCTTTATCTCTTGACAAGAACCAGGAGTTGTTTTCTTCCCTAAGATTAAGAACTATATGTAAAACTGTATGTACAAATTAATAAATTGTATTAAAAAATGAATAAATGTTAGTCAATATGTTATTTTCTATTATAATTGCCTCTTGTTTTGTTACATAAACCATATGCTTTGGGCATTTAAGTGTTGTTAAGATTGAATGTCTGTACAATCATGCATGATATTCTTTCATTTGTGTTGATAACGGCTTATTCACCTGTAGAGATTGATGTCTGTGAACCAGTCCTGCACCACAATTACGACATGGCACACTGTAAACAGGAAGGCTGCTATCTGTAAAGACTGCCACAAATACAAACACATTGAAATGACGAGCAGAGACCCTCTTGATGGTGATGTGGAGTCGCCCTCTGCTGGACAGTCTCGTACCTGCATCTCCACGTAGTTGTGGGGTAAGTTGTACTCCGGGGGTAACTTCCTGTCGTTGTTGATGAGGTGGTCGAGAATGGAGGGGCTGAGGATGGGCTGTGGGGGAGATTTGACATTATTACAAATCCAGCTCTATGTTGTTGACTGCCTCTGATTTCTGGCCTCATAAGGAATAAGGAACAATGTTGGGTGTGACCAGGGAAAACAACTCAAACTAAAATAGCTGCGAAAAGTCAATCATGTATATTATGTCCCCTGTACACAATTTTTAAACCACAAAAAATAGAACAATGTAATAAAATCCATCTACCGGGTCCTACCTAGACACGGTTAGAAGATGCATTTCTAAAATAAGCATCGCTTTCCCAGAGCTCTTTAATTCATGTATTTGGACATGTAAAGGCCACTTAATTTTGATCCCTGTGATGAAGAACACAGTCCCTTTGTTTTGGGACAAAGAAAGAAATAATAAAGGCTGAATAAAAAAACATATAGACTTGATGAATGAATGAATGAATGAATGAATGAATGAATGAATGGTTTATTTTGGTTGAGGCATTTAAATTTACAAACACTAACAACAAAACAAAAATATTCAACCAAAAAAGGAATAGGCTGAAGCAATGCTTATTTATGCCTATCCTTGTTCAAACCACATAACTGATGCTAAAAACAGCTTATCACACTAATGATATACTTTATCAAATAACAAAAAAATAAAGAACAACTATTTGGTGACTTACAGACAGAATAATGAATGATATGTACACATGCACATCTCCATTTCATTTCATACAAGCTTGAGGTAATCACTCAAATGCTTCTGTTTAATCATTCTTCTAAATCCAATTAAAGAAATACATAGTTTAAATTCATCTTTTAGTCCATTCCATAGCTTAACACCCTCAACTGAAACACATCTAGACTTCACAACGGAGCTCACTTTAACATTTTCAAAAATAAATAGACCTCTTAGGTTATAACAACTTTCCCTTAATTTAAAGAAACTCTTAATAGGCTTAGGAATGTTATTGTTTTTAACCCTGTGAACAATTTCTAACACTTTGATGTTGACAATATCCATTAATTTTAGAGTTTTATTTTGAATAAATAAATTATTGGTTGGTTCACAATAACCAACCTCATTTACAATCCTTATAGCCCTTTTTTGCAATTTAAATAAAGAATCTATACATGTCTTGCCAGCGTTCCCCCATATCTCTACACAAATGACAGATGGGACTTAACTAAAGAACTATATATCAAAAACAATCCTTTTTTATTCAATAAATTCCTTGTTTTATACAATATTGCGATTGACCTTGACACCTTATGCTTGACATATTCAATGTGCGGTTTCCAACAAAGTTTGTGATCTAGGATTACTCCAAGAAATTTGGCTTCAAAAACTCTTTCAATTTCCACTCCATTTAAATGTAATTTTACACCATCAGTTTTTTTGTTACCTGCAAATATCATAAATTTTGTCTTGTTTTCATTTAAAGATAGCTTGTTATAATCAAACCACTTTTTGATCAAAACAAATTCAGTTTCTACTAATTGCAATAATTCATTCAGTTTCTTTCCAGTACAAAAAAGTTAGTATCATCAGCAAACATGATGGATTTAAACATGGGTGATACGGTGAAAATATCATTTAGATATAGTATAAACAATTTTGGTCCCAGGACCGAGCCTTGGGGCACTCCGCAAGTAACTTTTTCGAACTGTGAATCCACATCATCAATTTTTACATATTGATATCTGTTGTTAAGATAGCTTTGCAGCCATTGATTTGTTTTACCACGAAGGCCATAATATTCACACTTTTTCAACAATTGTGCATGGTCAATTGTATCAAATGCTTTACTCAAATCAACAAATACACCCACTGTATATAGCTTTTGATCAACAGCTGTCGCAACATGTTCTACAAGTTCCATCACTGCTAGGGATGTTGAATGATTGCTTCTAAAGCCATATTGATGGTCATATCAATAAATCATATTTGTTGATAAAAACATCAAGTCTAATTTCAAACAATTTCTCTAATATTTTTGAGAATTGTGGCAACAGTGAAATTGGTCTATAATTAGATAAAAGTTGTTTATTTCCACTTTTGTAAATTGGAATCACTTTAGCCATTTTCATTTGATCAGGAACAATACCAGTTGAAAAAGATTTGTTGCAAATATAGGTTAAAGGCTTCAACAATACAGTGGATGACATCTTTGATGAGCGACATATCAATACCATGACAATCTGTGGAATTCTTACTTTTAAATTGATATACTGCTTCTAAAACATCACTTTGACATACGCCATTTAGGAACATTGTGTTGCTATTTGAAGTAGGAAACTCAATATTTCCAACAGTAGGTAACTGATTGGCTAATTTAGGACCTACTGTAACAAAAAATTGATTGAAAGCATTTGTAATTTCTTTTTTGTCTTCAATTGTTGTATTTGCATTTTTAATACTTGTAGGTAAAATCATCTCTTTTTTGTTTTCTATTACTTTATTGATTACCATCCATGTGGCCTTAATATCCTTTTTATATTTCTGTAGTAAGTTAACATAATAATCTTGTTTGCTTCTTCTTATTATAACTGTTAATTTATTTTTATATTCTTTGTACAGTTTCTCTTTTTCTTTTGTAGGATTTTTCATAAACTCTTTATATAATTTATTCTTCTTTTTACAAGCCTTCTCCAAACTTTTTAACATCCACGGTTTTAGATCCTTTTTTACATTTTTGCTTATATCGTTTTGGAGGGCAATGCTTATTATAAATATTAAGAAATATTTCTAAGAATGCATTATAGGAATCATTAACATTTCCAAAATAGATTCCTTGCCAGTCATAATTTAAGAGCTCAAATTTCAAGGCTTCAATAGCAATAGGTGTTTTGTGTCTGTGAACAATATCGAACAAATATTGAGGTGTTTTATTGTAATGAAACATTTCCATCACAACAAAAACAGGCAAGTGATCAGTAATATCTGTTAACAAGAGTCCACTTTTTGTCTTTATACCAGTTTGATTTAAGAATATATTATCAATCAATGTACAACTATCTTTTGTTATCCTGCTTGGCCTCAATATTAGCGGGTAGAAGCTCAAACTAAACATTGTATTAATGAATTCTGTAGTTTGTGAGTGCTCATTGGACTTTAACAAATCAATGTTAAAGTCACCACAAATCAAAGTCAACTTGTTAACCTTTTGCTCAAACAACTCAGAAATCCTTTTATTAAACTGATCTATACAAGAACCAGGAGAGCGATAAATACAAGTTATTATTATGTTTTTTGTTGTTCTGGCTTTAATTTCAATAGTTAAGCACTCCATCAGGTTCTCAATAGAAAAAGTCATATTTTCGATTACCCTGCATTCTAAGCCCGTTCTAACAAACAGAGCAACCCCACCCCCTCTTTTATAGAGTCTGTTCTGTGAAAACATTTCATAGCCGTCTAATTTGTCCAAAAATACTTTTCCGTCCTTTATCCAAGTCTCTGAGACTGCAACTACAGAAAAGTCATCAAACTTTTGTAAATGGTCCTTAATTTTGGAAAAGTTTCTATAAAGACTCCGGCTATTGAAATGTATGAGTGAGAATCCCTGCATACTCATGTTAAAGTCCTCCTCTGTATAATATTCACAGTCCAACTCAGTGCTACTGCAGAGATGAGTCTCTGGATCAATATCATTTCCTCTATCATTAGATTTATATTCTTTGTCATCAAAACTTTTAAAGTAATTGTTTTTTCCTGTTTCTATGCAATACTTTTTATCCATAAATGACAAGAAACAAAATACTAATCAAGTCAAAAACTTGGGAGAAAGAATACCTTTGCCTTTTCCCCTTGTTACTATAAGTTTCAATTTCATTTGTACTTCTCCAGCTCCGAGACATGTTTGATTGTCACAACTTTGGCCTGCTCTGGTGGCCCGTTGAGTTTGATCATTATTTTGCAGTTTCTCGTCCATGTATCCTGTATTTTTCTTTTCTTCTTCAACATTCTTGCTTGCCAAGCAATTTCAGCATTCCTCTTCGTAAGATGTTCGTTAACATATACACCAGTACCCTTAAGCTTTCTTGCAACCTTTAGCAACTCAATTTTGTGTTTTCTATTTGCAAATCGAATGATTATACTTGGTTTTTTTGACTGTTTTTGAGGAATTGTGTGACATGCTGCTATTGTTGTACTGTCAATAGTGATCCCATTTCTATTGAAAAACTGAGTTACTTGTTGTTCAAGTGTCAGCAGTTCACCTGGCACTTCAGTTTTACCTGTGTGTCCAGAAAGATGACGCGTTCCTGAGTGATGAAGAAGTCCACCCCGGTGCTCTGGTTCCCTCCTCTCTCCTTGATTTCTGTGCTTTGGGCTCGGAACACATAACCCCTGTTTGAGCAAAGAATACTGATTATTTAACAAATCATGTGACAAATATGACAGAACAGAACCGATTAGGGTGTAGACTGGTCTGGGTGTGATGCAACATTTAATCAAACAGAAGATTGTATGTCATTTCATCCAAATTAAGTGTTGGTTGTTTATGGTAATTGTCCCTTGATTAGGGACAGACCAGATGCACTTGGCTTTAGCGTTAGAGTGAGATCATGCAAATATTCAACACTTGTCCACAGGCACCATTAGAGGGAAAGGAGCCTGAAAGATGTTCTGAATGTAGGAACCACACAGTCCCTCAGTCACTGACTCAAGCTCTGGTGTTTGGTCTGCGAGTATGGAGCTATTATTGTTTCAATAATATTTGTGTGTGCGTAAAAAGATTTGTGCGTGCGTAACCAGATTTGTGTGTGCGTACCCAGATTTGTGTGTGCGTAACCAGATTTGTGCGTGCGTAACCAGATTTGTGTGTGTGTAAAAGAAATATTTGTGCGTGTGTAAATAGATTTGTATGTACGTATCAAGATTTGTGTGTGCGTAAAAAGATTTGTGTGTGCGTAAAAAGATTTGTGTGTGCGTAGAAAGATTTGTGTGTGTGTAAAGAAAAAAAAAAGTACGTTTTACACACAAGTTTTTTTTTTACACACGAATCTTTTGACGCAGTCCTGCCTTCGCAGATTCGCAAGTGTAACTTGGACTGTGTGCGTGCGTAAACAGATTTGTGTGTGTGTAATTTGACATTTGTATCTGTAGCAGAACAATCTGTGTGTAAATAACCGCGTTGTACAAAGAGAAGAACGAAAAAAGCCTAAGTGCTACGCACAGGCTCTGTTTTACACACGAATCTCTTTTTGACACACCTCTGCCGCCAAGCGTGTGTCAAAAAGATTTGTAAGTGTAATGTGGTTGTTCTAGCAGTACACCAGCAGATGGTGCTGTTGTAGCTGGTTATTACCTACACGCAAGCAAACCAAAACCTACTGCCTTGACAAGACACACTACCGCAGCTGTTTATGATATTTTTTTCCTATTTTCAAAATCCTGTCATTCACACCACTGTATGATACATGGATCTATTATAATAACTGGATAGGGTGTTACTAGCTTGGAGCTGAAGGATTCTCACGTACTGCAGACTAAATTCACGTTGGCTACACAGACATTTTCCCCATAGAACTCAAAGTAAACTAAAACAGCTGACAGATAACCTACAGCTTTCATAAAGGTCGGATTTTGTGGGAATTTTAGTGTTCCTTGTCATCCTGAACTTTTCTTCTTCTTAAATCCTTCGGTTTTCTCTATCTACACTTGTTGGTTTGCTTGCGTGTAGGTAATAACCAGCTACAACAGCACCATCTGCTGGTGTACTGCTAGAACAACCACATTACACTTACAAATCTTTTTGACACACGCTTGGCGGCAGAGGTGTGTCAAAAAGAGATTTGTGTGTAAAACAGAGCCTGTGCGTAGCACTTAGGCTTTTCCCGTTCTTCTCTTTGTACAACGCGGTTATTTACACACAGATTGTTCTGCTACAGATACAAATGTCAAATTACACACACACAAATCTGTTTACGCACGCACACAGTCCAAGTTACACTTGCGAATCTGCGAAGGCAGGACTGCGTCAAAAGATTCGTGTGTAAAAAAAAAATTTGTGTGTAAAACGTACTTTTTTTTTTCTTTACACACACACAAATCTTTCTACGCACACACACATTTTTTTACGCACACACAAATCTTGATACGTACATACAAATCTATTTACACACGCACAAATATTTCTTTTACACACACACAAATCTGGTTACGCACGCACAAATCTGGTTACGCACAAATCTGGTTACGCACGCACAAATCTGGTTACGCACGCACAAATCTTTTTACGCACACACAAATATTATTGAAACAATAATAGCTCCATATGCGAGAGCCTTGACGTCTGACAGCAAAACCAGAGAACAGTGGCATTACATGATCAGTTAAAAAAAACTGAGCTTGTACAGGGATATGACTGGCTTCAGGGTTGTTGATGAAGTTTGTGATCATGAGGTGAAGCAATAAGAAAGATGTGAGAATGTCATTGTATGTAAATCCAAAAGAGCAGCTCTTCCAATAAAACAGAAGCAGTTAAAAGTTTGACTTGAAAACTAATCTAATCTAAAAACCAAACATTTTTAGATTCAGGAAGTATTTACATTGATTTTCTTATATAGCTCTTGATATGGTTAGAAAGTTAGGTACCCCAGCTTTAAGTCATTCTCATCCTCATCTAATAGAGACTCACCTTGGATCCTCCTCGGGGGTGTTGGCTGATAACAGGGACATGATGGTGGATTTTCCAGAGCCTTGAAGGCCGATGACTCCGACCACCAACATGTCTGTCTGGTCTCTTAGGAACTGTGATCAAAAAAATAAAAGTCCATTTAAGAAAGTGTTGATAACTCGGTCTTCTGAATGCGGCTTGTAAGTGGTCACCTCCATTGCGCTGTCGCACCAGTTCATCTGATCGTCCACCAGCTTTATACTGTGCCTCATCTTCTCAGGAGGGATGAGCTTCGCTTGACCAACCAGCGCTGAGAAGTGGAAATAATAATAATCATAATAATGCAGCTTCAGATTACACAGGACGAGATTTGCAGAAGTCACTTTTAAACCAAGGGTCACTCCACAAAATTAGTGTCCTCAAAATATTCCTTAATATGATCAGGAGACTATCTGAGTTATTCCAGGTATTACAAAGAATAAAACAAATACAGATGTACATACACACATTTCCCAGTGGGAGGTAAAGGAGTTATACTCATAGTCTTATATTTACAGTCTTCATTAGTTAGGAGCTGTTTTCTGCCTTTTAAAACAAAATATTGCTTCCCAATTTAGTTTTGGATGATAAATTACAAATATGAATACAGACACCTGCCGTTCTCTCAATTAACTTGTGTGTGGGGTTTTTTTGTGTGTGTGAATTAATTATGGACCTCATGTCCATTTCTATTTTTATTAAGAATAACTGCACTGCTGTAGTTCAAAATTATAATATACATACTGTCCCTTTAAATAAGGTTTATTATTTGTATGTAACACACATATTTTCAAACCTAATTCGGCACACATTTTGTGGGACAACCCTTAAAAGCCCTGATCAGCTTACGGTCCACGGCGCTGCTGGTGGCCGCCCCTCCCATTCCCCTGTTCTGGATCTGGTAGACCGGCTGGGTGGGACGCTGGCCTTCGCGCTCGGTTTTGGACACGCTGGCTCCTGGAGGCTGAGCGGATGCTTCAGGAGGAGTCCCAGGCTTCACCCCATCGTCCCGGGCCTTCATCAGCATTATGGGCTTCTCCAGCACTGGCACTACGCTGGGAGCAACGCTCGGCCCCGTCTTGGCTTGGAGCTGAGACAAGTATACAGGGGCTTAGTATTCAGAAGTATGACGTTATTTTCATTTAAACTAGGCCTCTCACAATGTATTACTTTACTTTTAGGACAACTGTGCATTACGTGTGACGTTTTTCAATAATTACAGAAATATGAATTAGTCATAATAATCAGGCGCTACATCATTTTCTAGATCAACTCAGTGAAAGCTATCAATGGCTTTGATGTAGTTTGAAGTTCTTTAGGCTGAAATATATGACGCCTCAGAATGTGTCATGAAGAACTAATTTTAATTTTGAACGTGATGCATGTTAATTGTTTTCACAATATTGTTCCTTTTACCCTTTCTGCTGGAGGCTTAGCAAGAATAATAGGAGTCTTCTGAATAACTGGACCAGGTGGCTCCTCACTTCCATCCTGGAAATACAGATAAAACCAGTATCATCCCTTTTATCAATACCCATTACAAATGGACATCTAGTCCAGGTTTCAATAATATAACAAGGTACATAAATAGAATTCAATACATTAGGGATAAACTATGATAAATTCAATGTTGAACTACTATTATCATCCGGGCTGTAGTACTAAACCTGCAATAAGATGAGAGAAAAGGTAATGGCACTAAAATAGCCGGTATTACAACAGCTGAACAGCATATAAAAGGAAATCATTAAGAATAATAAAAATTATCTGTATATATTTCATTAAAACCACTAAAAGCTGTAGTACAAAACTGTATTAATAACGGCATACATGTTTTTTGTCCTTGTCTAAACATAAAAATTGTTTAACAAATCAGCCCACAACATAGTGACCCTTCATAGAGAGCATGTGAGCCTGTGATTTGGGCTAGGAGCTGATTGGCTGAGTGAGGGTGGTCGTCTCATGTCACTTTTCTGTCTAAGCTGATGCGGAGGCCAAATACACATGGACTATTAAAACTAGAACCGTTTGGACATTGAGGGAAGAAATTGGCTGGATATTATTACACAGGCTATACTACTGGTTTGAAAGTTATGTGCTATAAAATAGATCAAACGGAGCTACCTAAAAACATTATTGTAAACCATACAATACTACCCATATTAATCAGATAACATTTGTTCGGTTATCATCATGGATTATTGAACCAAACACGCTCATAATACATCATTTTATTGCCAACAACTGTAGCACGATATTCAGCGATGGAGGTCTGTTCAGGCCACAGACTGTACTGTACAGACCCTCTCTCGGGGCAGGTACTCCCGGTCCCTGCTCGGATTCTGTCCCGGGGGTCCCACGTCCCTCTCCCCGCGACGACGCCTCCGTCTGCGGCCAGGGCAGTACATCCCTGGCTGGCTGTGTCCAGACTCCGACATATCAGACCGGTGTCGTGGTCAGATCACGGAGACAAAATGCAGCTAACAGAAGATATGTGGATTTTAGCTTTGTATTCTGCCCACGCTGATAACCACTATAACTGATAATCGCTATAACCATAGACTGCTATAACAGACCCAAGCTAATGCTAATGTCGTCGGATGTAAATATTGCCTGTTTCCAAGAGTACTTGATTGAATCAATTGGTAGCTTAGTGGGGCGGTTAAAAACAAGACGGGTTCAACACGACTCCGCCCCTGTAAAAGTCAAAGTTATAACAAATGAAACACATCCATTCTGCCGGCTTTAAAGAACCGTGTGAAACATTTAATATTGCGTTGAAAAGTTCCGGTTACGCAAAAAAAACAAAACAAAAAACAGCTTTGGTTTGTGTCATTCACGTCCAATTTAGTGTGAATACAAAAAAATTGCCTGATTAATATATAATGTCATATAAAAAATGAATGTTTATAATAAATTGCATTTTGTTATTACAAAATAGTAGTTACAAAAGTAGTTGTAGCTTCTTTGGACATAAGGTCAAATATTTATGATATGTATAGCTATGTGATTTTGCCCAGTTTAGTTTGTGTTAGTTTGTTTTGCTTTGCCCAGTTTAGCCTGTTTATATATAAAAATTAACCAAGTATACAAAATGGATAGTACCGTCGTGCGTAAAAAGTCCCCATGCCTAGTTAAAAAACACGTTTCCTAGCATAGTTAATTAGATGTAGGGCACACAAACCCAGTTGTGCTGAAAATGATATGCAAAATGGTATCTATATTAGTTATATTGTCTATAACTAGAAAAGGGACTCCAGCAGAGGGAGCAAGTGTTACCTATTTGACCTTAGCAGATAATTGTGTATTAACTAAAGTAGCAATATGTAAGATTTTCATGTCAAGTCATCATTAAATGGCCCTAATATGTCAAAAGGTATTAATGCCATGCTCTTTTCGAATACTTCTTTAACTGATGTTAGTAGTTCAGCCTGGATATTCGAATCTAAAAATTAGTTTTACAGCCCCTAAATCTTGTTATTGTTTTCATCTCAATGTCCCACCTTCCACCGTTTTACCAATCAGAAAGTCTGTGATTCGGGTTGACAGAACTCACTAATCTCACTGGTATAGTAAAATATGGCATCAGCACAAAAAAAAAGTCTTGATTTGATCCTCAAATCATTAATGACAAGGAATAAAACGGGGATTTCTATTTGGGATGTCTTTGTGAAAAATGTGTTGGTTATTGATTTGTTGTTGACAAAACTCTTGTTGAGTTAGAACCCCCTGAGTGGGAGAGGTTGCAGTACCACTTTTGGCCAGAGTTTTACATATTGCTCCTTTAATGTAATTTAGATTGAACTGAGTCAGTTATAGAAGTAAAATAAAGTGCAAAGCTACACAGAAGAAATAGTTTAATACACTATACATCAAAAGTAATTTCTTATTCCATAGGAATATGGTATAAACATAATCAAATGTTGACTTTAAGCATTCCAGAAGTTTGATCCATTCACACAATGCTTTGTTCAACTGATTAATAACACACAGGAAATCAATCAAATGCCCCAGTGATTGTGTCATTGCTCTGGGTAACTCCACAGCCGTGAGTCATGGTCTGAGCCGCTGCTCCATGTTCAGCCCCTGCAGAGTTCAATCATTCTCAGTCGTGTCTCATTGCTCCTCTGCTCTGTCACCTGAAATCAAACACATACATGTTACTCTTTCACAGATGTTCACTTCACACTACTGTAGATAGTTTGCTTTACTGTGATCAATTCCAGCTACATGTTCCTCCCTCCCACTTATGCAGAGAAAGTCTTGATTGTAATTAGGAAATGGGAGAAAATCCTCACGTGATATTAAGGTCATTGACTTGAAGATTGTACAAAATGGAGCAGAAGAAATGATTAAACCTTTTACATACATCTGCAATTTATCTTTCCAACTCAGTGACTTTCCTTCTCAAATGAAAATCAGGACCATTTAATCAATTATCAGTGTCCCTTCTGTCATAATTTTCCAAAAAACTGTAAAAAGGACTTTGGGGGCTTTTAATTGGTTATGTACTAAAGACATGGAATAACTTTGGACCACTTTAACATGAAATGAAAAGATAAAAAATATGGTATAATATATTTTTTGTCCAATTTTTTTAAAATGTGAATTGCAGTTGTTATTTTCATCTTTTGGTATAGAAATTTGAAATAATAATCACTGCTGCTACCTTACAGTGCTGCAGATTCCTTTCACCTGATCTCGGGAGAACGCTGCCGCAGCACGTGGGACAGAGCTCGGACGTCTGCTGGAAGCAGTGGGTGAGCTCTTCTAACTTCTGCTCCATGGACAGAATGCGCTGCTCCAGCTCTCGATACGAGTTATTCCAGTTGGCGCTGAGGTCGCACATGATCATCTGCATTTTAGGCAGGTCCACCATCTCACTGGCATAGTCCCTCAGCCTTCTCTGCTTGAGCCGCAAATGACGGAATCTGTAGGAAAGTATCAAATATTCCTTTGCACAATGGTGGTTTGCATGTCTTAAAGAAAGTTATCCTTATGTTTTATTTATCTAAAAAAATACCCTTTCTATCTGACAATAATAAATTATATCTCCAACTCAGACCAACTCATAAAGACCAACTCCTTTTTGTAATGAGAGATACGTCTTCCAGATTTAGAGGCTGCGATAAGTATCCAAAGACTACTACTATTAAGTCTGCAATAATGATAAATTTTTTGTTTAAAAAAATAGATTTGACTGCTTCACAAGTATCCTTAAATATATAGGGGCAGTAGTAGAGTAGTTTTAATGAATGATAAGGCCTATAAATTATAAAAATGATACTATTCGGTTGATTTGACCAAACCTAGTGAGTACTTAAACTTAATTTATATGGCGCTTTTCACAGACCAAAATCATTGTCTGAAAATCAATCTCACACTTTAAGATTAAGATTTAGATCTTAACAATCTAATGATTGAAGAGTGCAGGTGAAGTATGGCTCACACTCGGATGGCCTCCAGCAGACAGCGCTGGTGCCTCCTGGTCTCTCCTCCTCTGGGGCTTAGGTTGGCTCTGTGGAGCAGCCAGCACTCCCGCAGGACGTTAGCAGCAGCGTGACGGATCTGTGAAACAACAGTTACAAACATTTATTCACAGTGAAGAAATATTCTAACATGAGTTCTAAACCTGATCCAAGAAACCAAAAGTTGTGTTTTATACTGAGAGTTGCAAGAATAATTTTTAATCTCCCAAAGCACTCAGACCATGTGGGAAAAAGGTCTCAGGAGCTCCACCATGGTGCGGGTTGGATCTGGCTTACACTTCATGGAGAGTAGTCTATGTATTGTTTAGTAAGTCCTATGTACAAAGTTCTGTTGGTGGTCCGGGTTTTATCAAGTGTTTATAAATGCCATGATTACAAACAGATTAAACTGCATACTAATGAAAACATATTTTGATATTTTGATATGATAAAGTTAATTTAACTTCTGTGAGTTTACTTTGTTTACTACAAAACTACAATGTACAGATCCATGTTTTTGCACACTAACAAAATTATTGTTTGGTTATTGTTATAATTGCCCAAGAAAGTTAGTAAGAAAGTAATGTTTATTTATATAGTGCATTTTACAGACCAAGGTCACCCAAGGCACTTTACAATTGTCAGAGTTCAGATATTGTTCCAATCATTCCACACACGGTGATGACGGAAGCGAGTCACCGAACACACTGGTGCATCAGCCCCCAATCAACACCATCCATTCACTCTCTCATTTACATTCAGACCTATTGTGCATGTTTTTAGTGGTAGGGGAAACCGGAGCACCCAGAGAAAACCTTCGCAGACACGGGGAGAACATGCAAACTCCACCCAGAAAGGCCCTGTTTTGACCAAGATTTGAACCCAGGACCTACTTGCTGAGAAGCGAGAGTGCTATCCACTCAGCCACTATACCGCCCGCCTGATGATAAGAAGGATGATAAGGAGCACGTCCTCACTCTCCACGCTTGAGGCTGGTTCTGCTGAACCAATATTCACTTTATATTTATCATTTATTTGTGTGAAAGGAAACAACCGTGAGCATCTCCACGGATGATTAACTCCCCTCATCTCAGCCAATAACAAATATGATTTGTTGTTGGAGGAGCCGAGGGCATAATATTTCTGATGTAATATTGTTTATGATTGATTTCTCACTGAGGGACATTCCAAGTAAAAAAATGGCATTTCCATGGCAACAAACAGGCCGCGGACCACATCAGAAGAGTTGCCCACAGCACTTTTAATTATAATATTATTTGTCTCAAATTGTACTGGGTGTAATTCCATCTAAATATAAAACAAACTTTATTTCAACAACTAAACATGTTTGCACATCAGGGATCATACCCTCCTATCACTGACTTCAGACGACGTGAGCAGCTTGAATATCTTATCTGCTGTTTTCAGGAAGTCACAGTTTTTTGTCATCTGAAAGTGTGACCAAATATTCTGCACTAAGTTTCAAAAATATGTTTGGGTTATGCTGCATACAGTATATTGGAGTGAATCTTTAAATAAACGAGGACAGCTTTCACTGATTAATAATAATAATTCATTAGAAAATGGCTGTATGAATGGTATTATTGATGTGAGCTGTAAATGAAATTGTGGAGTCCAGTAAAACACCTAAACTTTTTACGTGTGAAGACAATCAATTCAAATACTGAGTGGTGGAGATTTAGATAGTTGATTTGGAACCAATGAGGAGTACTTAACTTTTATTTCCGTTGAGTTTGAGTTTGAGGGCCAACAGTAGCTCAATTGGTAGAGCATTGGCCTTTGAGCCTGAAGGTCGTGGGTTCCACCATAAAACCTACTTCACGACTCCCGCTGATGACTGCTGTCGTTGTGTCCTTGGGCAAGACACTTAACCCCACTTTGTCTGAAGCCCCCGCTGAAAGATCTCAGCTCCTGTGGACTCACCACCTGCAGGAGGATCAGAGAGGGGCTGGTGCTCTGTGTACTGGGTAAAATACAGAGCACTGTACCAATGCTGGTGCTCTGACTGCCACCCCTCCCGACCCAGAAATGGATTAAGGGGAAGAAAATGGATGGATGGAGTTTGAGTTTGTTATTTGTCACCCAAGTTGTGATAGTCTGTAGACAGTTAGTGAGGGAAGTAGGGCAAGTTGAACAGGGTTTTGTGTCATCCGCGTAGCAATGAAACTGTATACCAAAGTGATAAAAAAATATTGCCGAGAGGGAGAATGCAGATTAAAAACCTGAACCTTGGGGTGCTCCATGATATAGTGGTGATGGTGTTGATTTTATGTTTTTGACCTATACAAACTGTTTTCTTTCTGTGAGATAGGAGGTGAACCAGTTTAAAACTGTGCCTGTGAACTCAGTGCTAGCCAAAGGTTCCAATAAAACTGTGTGAGAGATGGTATCAAAGGCAGCACTGAGGTCAAGGAGGATGAGAATTGTGAGAAAACCAGAGTCAGCTGCTGTGAGAAGATTCGGTTTCTGTACTGTGTTTGGGGCGGAATCCAGATTGGAAGGGCTCAAACATAATGTTGTCAAGAACATGGTCTTGAAGTTGAGCTGCGACTGTGCGTTCCAGTACGCGCACAGTCTTTTTTTTGGCACCAATTCAGCCCTAAAAGTGACTTACACTGGTATTGAGCTTTATAAAGGGTAGGCACAGGTGCCCTTGGGCAGATTGTGAATACTGGAGGCTCAAAAGGCCCGATTGTGGAGCAAAAATGTGGAATGACTTGGAAACCCGGGACTTCCCAGAGGTCTCCCATCACAGTATAAACTAGGACCTAACAGGCTTTCATGTGCAGGTGTAGCCACTGCACTGCAATCATTACTGAAAAGTCAACACAGTAAATATGCAAAAGGCCAAGAGACAAGTGTGTCGCTCGGATATGTTCATATTTCAACTTTTACCATTTCACCTGTGCTCTGTGAATCTATTTACGTCTGTTTATCTTCCGGCCGCTTTCACCGTAACTGTCCCGCTGATGAGGTCACTGCATGTTAATAATAGCGCAGTCCCATCCAGATGTCTTCCCTTGTTCCCATCAGTGTAAGTGTGAAGATCGGATGCAGCGTAACCTCGGCCCAACACGCACTGGGCCAAACAAAGACCGGGACGCAGCCACGAGACACAGGAAGCGCTCGTATCCTCCCCACCAGTGTATACACTTACATCGGGCGCATTTGAAGGCCTTGGACAACAAAGTGCGCGTAAATGGACAATGTCTGTCTAACAAAGATTGCATTTCAAGATCTGGAGTCAGATGTGGCCAACTTCTGTAGCCAAATCAGGAAAGTTTCAAATTTCTGAATTTCTTTTTCAAGGGCCAGTACTTACATGTTATTCTTCATCAACACTTTTTAAAAATATGACTTTCATGAATGCTGACATGTGTCTAATCCACTTCATAACCAATGAAAGCAATATTAGGAAATATGTCCATAAGGCAGGTTTTCAAATAATAAAAACGTGTCCTAATCCACTGAATATTAGGTACAACATATTGAAATTTGCTTCAAAGACAAATTTACTTATTTCAGGAGTTTTTTCAGACAGTAGAATGTAAACAGTAGTCTACATTATTGACAGGCTATATTCAGTTCTTTTTTGGCTCACTTTTATGTCAATGGTGGGTCCTGACCAGAGCCTGTGTACAGACAATGGTAGCCTTGCCTTAGCCATCCGTAAACTCCAGACAACTATTATATCCCTACATGTAGAGTTTGGGACTGTTCCCAGTGAATGCATATACATCAGTTGAATCCGACCAATCACTGAGCGGGAGGGGATTTGTTGTAGGTACTGTAGGTGTCGGTGAAGAGTCAAGAGTTTGCGCTGAATTTGCTAGTTGTAGTTTGGCAACGGCGGCAGATGACTTTTCCCACTGTCCGGCTTTGTCCTGACGTGACACAAACTAGTTTCCTTTCCTGAAAATTCCCTTTTTTCAGTCCCTTATTCTTTTGACATTCTAATAATAGTATAGTAGTGACTGAAAATAGAGGGAAACAGTGGTAAAATAAAAAAGTGATTCACTGCTGAGTGTCCAATAAACTCTCACGATGTGGACAAATACATGACCTGACGGAAAAGTCAAAGTTTTAAAAGAACTGGTTTTCAGCACACACACATCCATCCAGGTCAGGTTGAGCAGGCCTATTCAACTTGCTTCAAATAATCTGAAGCCTGGTTCATATCTGAAGCCAGATAAGAAGAAGGATTTTGCCCAGATTTTTTTGTTTATGACAATCTTAAGGACGTCCAATCATCGTAAAATACTCTTCATGAAATATTCTCGTTCTCTCAGAAAGATGTCAGGATCGTACCTCAAATCTGAGATATTGCACACGTTACCCCGGGTAAGTATAAAGTACTGTAACAGTACAGTACCTGCTAGCGTTACCGGTTCAAGTCTGGCTAAGTCTTGGTTCATACCTGGTTACTCGGGTTAAGAATTTTCAACAGGTCAAAATCATGATCGCCACAAGGTTGTAAAAAGGAATCACCAAAAGCAGAAATAGTGTAATAGTGTAAGGATTCAACATGGCATACTAGGTTTGCGAATCGAGCAGTGACACAGAAGACGTTTTCTCATATTAGCGTAGAGCAAACTCCGGGTCTGTGACTGAATAATGTTGGATACCTAATGTAAGGTAAAAGGTAAAAGCTCAAAAAAGAATATTCTCCATAATGTTTCTTCTTTAAAGGTGCATGGACAACACAACAGCTGGAAGATTGCAATAGTAAAAGTTATCAATTTCGATAAATGTCATTGAAAGAAAATATTACAGATGGTTATCTGATAGTGATTAGATTTACAAAGCCATCATAATATCCCTACTGTATGTCTGAAAGGCCTTTCTACTGGCCAACATCAACCATGCGTTTTTGATTATTGTCACAACATACACACCTTAACGAAAAAACAATTAGACCATAGTTGATATGTACAGACAAAGATGTTGACAGATTTTGTTTCATGTGGATTGGCCAAGGACTAACTTGGACTTTTTTAGTCCTAGTTACCACAGTTAGAAGAAAGATTTTTTAGCTGCCCTCCACTACAATGTTAAACTATAGACAGTTTGGAAAATTGTGATATCACATGAACATATGGTGACAAGCTTGATAGTTCATTTTGTCAATATATTTCATAGCTCACAGCAGCGGAAAATATACTTTTCAAGAAGCGTTAGGACTAGGTGTAAGACTGAGGTGGTCTTACCCGTTTGGAGACCTGTATGTCCAGCATGAAGAAGTGGACATGCTTCTCCCCTTTGTTCAGAGCCAGTTTTTTTGTGACCACGGCGACTAACATGGCTGTGCACGCAACACCCTACAGAGACAAAGGGACAGAATTACACATACACATTATTCTATCATGTGGGAAGCTAAATGGGCATTCTTTGTCAGGTGCACTCCTCTTTTTTTCCTGGTGGAGCCCCGCTTTTTGCTCGGCTTCATCTCAATATTTTTTACCGGATATTTACACAGTTACAGTTATACAGTGCATCATTAAACTTTACTTTTACATTTGCAGCTATGTGTGAAGTAATATATTTATATATTTTTCAAACTTGGTTGATGGTAGTCTTACACACCCGTTTCATATTCTGTAATATTGGTGAAGTGTCTTGCCTAAGGACACAACCTCAGAACCTGGCACTTACTAGGTGTTCCCGAGGTCTACCATCACTGTACTAATCAGATCCTGTACTACTTAGCTTTTTAGGTCTGATGGGCTTTCAAATGGAGGTGGCGCCACAACATTACTTTATCACCAATGACTCCTTCTGACGGATTCAAGTAGCACCAGTACCCGTCACCTCCTCCGGGTTTGGCTTAATGTAAAAAATTGGAATTGTGAAATAGTTTACAGTAAAGCTACCATTCTTTCCCTGAATAATACTTTACTTTAAGCTATGTGAGCTACCCGGCCCAGACTAATAGGCTGCACCCACAGCCTGAGTCCTGGATCTATTGCCTGTTCGTCCGTGGAAGCGGATCTCTCTCTCAATGTGAGACTCCCAGAGATTTTTTATTCCCCTCTGGGCTCTTGATTTGTTCCTTGGTGATGCAGGACGGTCTAAGGACAGTGATGATCCAGAACATTATAAGGACATTTATTAAAATGTATGGACATCGATCATCCCACTCCCTATCGACCTGTGGCTCATATTTGTTTGTTATTGTGCAGTTTACCCTGTGTTCAACTGTTTGATTCTCTGATCTGTTGTTGCCCAATCAATAACTTTGTTAAGTCCTTAGCTATTGTAAATTAGGGATAAGCAAAAATAAATGTAACTTTATTGAATATGAATAAATCCTTGAATTCCTGAAAAAAAACAGTCGGGGCAACTTTTAATTCAGTTTCTTAGGTGATATTATTTATATGAAGCTTCTTCATCTGCTCCAGAGTCACTAAATATGTTTTCTTTCTTTTCAAAACTCGTAACTGTATCCAAACATACACTTTCTCATTCAATGAGTGTCATTTATTTTCATGACTATTGACTCTAGATTCACACCAGGCTGTGTAAGGGCTGTTTGACCAATAAGGAGAGTGATGGGTGCTGGGCCAGATGACCTGGGCCAGATGACCTGGCCGCCAGTCACCGGACCTGAACCCAATCCAGGTGGTGTTGGGGTGAGCTGGACCACAGAGTGAAGGCGTAAGGGCCAATGAGTGCAAAGCATCTCTGGGAACGTAACTACTACTTCAAGACTGTTGGAAGACAGTCTTGAAGATGTGCGAAGCAGTAATCAAAGCAAAAGGTGGCGACTTTGAAGAACCTGTAGATCTTCACTGTCTGTTACAAGAGAGCAACATTGTATCACATTCATCTATAAAGGATTTATAATGGATCATCTGGTTCTCAAAACTGTTCGTACAAGAACAAAACCTGATTTAAAACCTTTACGAAATTGGACATAACCATACAAATGGTGTAAACTGTCTATTATTGTTGTACGTTTGCGTGAATTGTCTGGACCTCTCATGTACACTCCTAGTGTGAATCAAGATGAATAAAACAGTCAAAATTACCTGGTTTTCCCTTTGCGAAGCATTAAGAAGAGAGAGAAAATAGAGCATTAGATAAGAGACAATTTAGGCCACGTTTAACACATTGGAAGCAGGACTTGTTATAATCAACTTTACTTGAACCACTGTTGTTTAAAAACAGTTTGCAAGTGCTTCACAACAATAAAGGCAGTAAAGACCACTAATAAAACACATACAAATAGCAGACTCCAGGCACCCAAGTAAAAAAAAATATCATCATTCATAAGAACAGGGTTTTTAAAAAGCACAGTCAATAAAAGTGATTTAAAAGATGAGGCGCTCCTGTTTCTTCTCCAGCAGGTTGTTCCCAGGCCGAGGGGCACGGGCCGTAATGGTCTGATCATCTGGAGGAAGTAGAACCCCCTCCTCCTTGATTAGGGAAGCCCTTGATTAGGGAAGCCCTAACCAAGTTTTAAAAGCGATCAGAAACACCAGGATGCAGATAGGGCACTTGAAGTATCTGTGAGTACCTGTAATTAAATCTCCAACATAATACTGATATTCATTTACTAAGAAACCTTGGGTGCATGACCTAAATAGAGCTCACACCTGATAGCTAGTAGCTAATATTGCTAATCGTTAATTACTTCTTCTTTGCCTCTACCGAAGCAAACAGCTGCCGGTGATGTGGGAATAGGTAAACCCGAGCAGTGAACAAGCATGGATCTAACATCCAAAATGTGCAATATCTTGTTTTCTCTCATAAAATATTGTTTTGAGTGGCAGGACACAGGAGGGAAGTTTCAATACAAGCAACTTGTGAGATTGCAATGAAGCTACCGTGGCTAAAGCTAACGGGACAAAAACAACAATAAACTGGCAGATTTATTCCCATGAGAACTTCAATGTGCAGTCTGCATTTGTAGTAAGAAAATCAAATTTATAGTATTGGATCAAACGCTCACAGTGTAGAATGTACACAATGTATTTACTGCTACTGTCAAATTAGTTTAAACAGTGTTTAAAAAATAAGTAAAATTATGTACTTTTATGTGGCTATCTTAAATTTGCAGAATATTACCTTTAATAAAATAAGTAATACACGCCAGATATCAATAAATATCAGGTATCGGCAGACCAAAAGCCCAGTTATTGTATCGGAACTGGAAAAGCTGGATCGGTGCGTACCTGGTTAAAACAAGTGAGAAGTCTGCATCCTCCGTTCCGAACCAGTTGGAGGCGTGAGAGGGATTTGGAGTCGAGACCAGAGAGGAGGGAGAGGACGAGGGCATTGATTTTTCCTGCATTTTCATTTCAATACACGCTTTTGTCCATATCACAAACCAGATCCGACACACCCACATGACTCGATGACATGTTTTCTTTCCTGGTAAATAATTAGGCACAGGTTTGGCGCTGGCTTCACTCGCTCTCGTGCCAAATACAATAAAGCACCCAAAAAAAGGATAGGGCGGAAAGTTTCCCATTATAAGAAAGGAAGCTTATAAAAACAGCAGTGATGGAGAGAGTGAGAGGCGGCTGCTTTTCTCTGAACATAGAAGCTGCCTGTGCTGTTTGGAAACTAGATTTTTTTATATCATTCATGATTAGAATGTGTGTGTGTGTGTGTGTGTGTGTTTTGTCTTGTGCAGTAGTTAACATAGTAGTAGTTAGTATTTTAATACTGTATGTACTGTACAGTGTTATGTGACTTACTGAATTGCACTGCATGGAATTATTTTGTTTTGTATTGTGTTGTAGGGCTGGCCGATATGGCTGAAAACTATATCATTATATAAGTAATTCATATCAGTCAATAACGATACATATTTATTTTTTATTTATTTATTTATTTAAACCTAAATGAATACATTTTTTGTGTCGGCTAACACACGTTAGCAGCACATGTTTACAGTCATGGGGGAATGGGGAATATGTTTACAGGATCCCCCATTGTTAGTTCTGGTTAGTCCAGCATTTCACACTCTCCATCGACAGCCACACCATCTCACCGTCTGCTCAGATCAGAAACCTCGGAATCATCTTTGACCCCACCCTTTCTTTCAAGCCCCACATCCGCAACATCACCAAGACTGCCTTCTTTCATCTTAAAAACATTGCCTGTCTTCGCCCATATCTGTCCTCCACCGCTGCTGAAACCCTGATCCATGCTTTCATATCCTCCAGACTCGACTTCTGCAACAGTCTTTTATACGGCCTTCCTTCATCTGATCTCCAAAAACTGCAATATGTCCAAAACTCTGCCGCCCGCCTCCTCACTCAGACCCGCTCCAGAGAACACATCACCCCTGTCCTTCATAAACTTCGCTCCCCATCAAACATTTCAAAATCCTCCTCATCACCTACAAAGCCCTCCATGACCTCGCTCCTCCACACCTCACTGAACTTCTACAGCCCTACAGTCCCTCCCGCCGACTCCGATCCGCAGACTCACATCTCCTCACTCCCACTGTCAAATCCAAGCACCGGACCTTGGGGGACCGAGCTTTCGCCATCTCTGCTCCCACTCTCTGGAACTCTCTCCCCCCTCATCTCAAAAACTCGGACTCACTAAACTTTTTCAAAAAACAGCTAAAAACTGACCTCTTACTCCAAGCATATTTCAAGATTTCAAGATTTCAAGATTTTTATTTGTCAAACCAAGTGAATGGTTTGAAATTATATTTCTCTCATCCTTGATTGTGGAGCGGGGGGTGGGAGGGAGGGCAGGGAGTTCAGCTTATATGACTCTTAGTTTCAGTTTTGGACTCTTCTTTCCTGCTTTTGATTTTTAGTTTTGTGTGTCTGTCTAAACGTGTGTGTGTGTGTGTCCTGAATTGTGAAGCGTCTTTGAGTTTTTGAAAAGCGCTATATAAAATCAATTTATTATTTTATTATTATTATTATTATTAATCCTGGTTTAATCCTGGTTTAGCTCCTGTTTTGGCTGTTTTTCGAGTGTCTCCTGTCCCGGTGACGGCTCCGGAAAAAGTTAAACTCTTGCTTTCGCCGAATGCTTCGGGTCTCTGTAACCACTGCCTCTCCCGCACCGCACATGCTATTCCTTGCACAGACTTAGATGTTGTATTTTCATGTCATGTCATTTTCCACCCCTTTATTATTCCATTTCTGGGTCAAGGGGGTGGCAATCACCGAATCACCGCCACCCAAGTCTCAATGCACCAGTCCCTCGCTGATCCTCCTGCAGGTGGTGAGTCCACGGGAAGATGGCTTCTCCATCATCTCCACCAAACATTATCCTTGGGTGCATGGTGCAATGGTGGCGCTGGAGGCAGTGTCCTGACTGTCTGTATAAATTGATGTATGTGAAACAGATAATCTAATCTAATCCATCCATTGACCAAGAGTGGACAGTTTAAACACAAGGTGATGCTGCCACTTCCACTGGGATGCGATTGTTGCGATGCAGTAAAATATGACCACAAGATGGTAAAAACAGACACATAAACAGTGTGGAGTAGAATTGAAACATTTTGTTTTGTGATTATGTGATTGTGGTCATAAACGGCAAAACAAACAAAAACATTTTTAGATAAGAAAATACCATGTCTGTAATTTCAAAAAAGTAAACGTAAAGTAAACTTTGGACAGTACAGACAGTAGGACGTGCTGTTGCTACTTAATGAGAGTAAAGGTTGGGCATTTCATCAATCTTTTTGTAATCATATGAGCACCCAGCCACTGTCCGAAATAAACTCCTTTCAGCCACTTGCACGTGATCTCGTCGTTTGGGTCATTACCCAAAGCTCATGACCATTGATGGGGGTAGAAATACTGATTGGCCTGTAAATTGAGAGCTTTGAGTACAGACGTTGCTCCCTCTTCACCACAACAGTGCAATAAAGCTCTCAATGCAGACGCTACTCTCTCTTCTCTACATAATCCAAATCACCAACCACATCACTGCACACGCTGCACTGATGCGTCTGGGTATCTCACACTCCATCCTTCCCTCACTGAAAACAAGACCTGAGATACTGGAACTCCTCCTCCACTTCACACTCTGCTGCTGCAAACCGTACCAGTGCATATTAGGACAACATTGTTTGCACACAACCGTATTTGCAATCTTGTAGTCCCCAATTTGAGCTCCTTCTGGCCCCAGTAGTCCCCAAACCGGACTCCCTCTGTCCCCTGGCTGTAGTTCCCTAAACCGGACTCTCTTTGGTCCCAAGCTGCAAATTCTACAGCCTGGGGCCAAAATTCTGTCTGTTGGAGGCCAACATGCACTGGGAACATGCCTGCCCTACTGCCGGTGATGCAAAAAGTGACTGGATGGCAGTCACCTAAAGCCCTAAAAGGACACACGGTTAAAACCGCTGAAAGCATTCTCCAGATCAACAAAACACCACCGCCCCGTCTGTGAAAGGTACTGTCCCCGATCACCATGCGATGTTGCAGAAACAGTCCCACAACATCCAGAGACTTCAGATAGATAGGCGGATCTCATCCACTCCCAAGATCTTCAGCTTCTGCCTCCAAATTGTGGGACATGACAGGAGGATTGAGAAGAATCTCAACGTATTCCTTCCATCGCTGATGATATCCCCCCTGTAAACAGTGTTGGAAAAGCGCCACTTCCCCTTCTTTTGAGGTTGACTGATTAACTCCTCCCATCTTATACTACTGGAGTCCACCACCGGGTTTGGAGAATGCCGCTGGATAAAAAAGGTTTACAAAAACATTGAGGTGGGACAAAACAGCCGTCAAAAATCCTGTACCATTTACACAGTGATCATTAAAGTTATTCAGATTTTCTCATGTATTGGATCATGGCCTCAGTGTTATAACATGTTATTATGGGTGTTCAGTCAGTGCTGGTACCATGACTCCGGTGAGCAGACACACCACTTTGCCGCAGCCCGTATTTGGAGACACGTCTCCGTATCCGACCGTGAGGAAGGTGATGGCAATGAGCCACAGAGCCGTGTTCATGTGGTCTGCGGCTGCTCTGGTTTGTCTGAGAAACACACAAGCAGATTATGTTAAACTGCTGGTTCCAGATACATGCAGCTGAATATATTGCTTCCAGCTATACAGAATTTAATACTATATTGTACTTATATATAATATTGTGTATGGCTATGATAGTAAATGTAAATAAGGTTCTGCATGGATACAAGAGATGGCTGAGGAGTTACAAGTGATCCAATCAGTTTAGAATGCCTCCTCCATCAGCCCTGAATAAACCGTAAGCGAAGAGCTGGATATTTTTCAAGTTAGTATGATTTTGGAACACATACTTTAGTGTTGGTGGAATGTTTCTAATCTCCTTCTGTAACAGTATGAAACACACTTTTATCCGGGTTATTTCTGTTATAAAGTTGCGCGCGCTGGGACGGAGCGTGCTTGAACAAACCTGCAGGGGTGATCGGCCAAGGCCAAGTGCACCAGATAACACAGGACACAATGCTACTCTCTTTTTAGTTTTTTAGTTTTACAAGATTCCCGCTGCAACTCCTCTGCCTCCTGGAATGCTTCGATTGCATTTTTGCACTGGTACAATCATTTTGTGTGTTTGCGTTTGTAGGAGATTGGGGCGTTGTAATGTATTTGTTGTTTCAGTATTAAAGAAGACATACTGTGTATATTTTTTGGCCTTTCAAAATAGAAATGAAACTTTTTACCTTGTAATTTCATTTTTACAAATTTGAGTATAAAATACTGTATGGTGAAACAAGTATGAAGGGTAAATAATGCTTTCTGCCTAAAACTCCCTATCTTACCACCAGGGGGAATTGTAGACTTTGGCTTGTTTTTTCCACCGGCCACAAACACAGCCATGTTATTGTAAATAATGTGATTTCACTTGAGAAATTATCAAATCATAACTTCTGAGCAACACTTTTGTTTTAAAAGGCAGTCAAACTGATGTCATAGTGGTACAATGACATCATGCTATCACAGAACTGAGACTGTGTCAGACGAGGCGGTGTCACATGTTTGTGCCTGAAGTTCTGGATATTAGCATGGATGGATCTAAAAACAAATCCAAGTCTGTGTCTATAACAAGGTTAAAAATGTGTAGTAATAGAAGTAATTTGTAAAACTACAATGGCATATAATCCCTCAATTTGAAATTTGCACTTTTAGAGAATGTGTCTTGACACGATAGAGAGGCCCTGTCCTCACCTGGTGCAGAGGTCCTTCAACAAGTATCTCAAGGTCTTGTTCTCGAGTGAGGGAACTATGGAGGCTAAGAATGACCCACACCTATGGTCACAACACAAAGGACATGGATTCCAGCAGTCACAGCTGTTTGTGATTCCTAACGGGAAGAGCGGAAGACCCAGGACATGCTGGAGGGATGATGCCTCAACTGGCCTGGGAACATGTTTTGTGCGTGTCAATACTAGTCAATTTTGTAGTAAAAAAAAAATAGTATTTTTTAGTCAATACTAATACCTGTTTTAGCATTTTTAGGTTTCCTTAAAATATAAAGTGCAATACAGATAAAATGTATTATCATCTCTGCTCAAACAGCTGAGACATGCCCCAGGTAAAGTACTCTGAATATGATGCTTTTTATACTGCAATCTGCTGACAACTAAATGGACTGATTCACTGTGTGATGTTCCATACAGAGTCTGTAGATTGCTCTGGGATTGCTGCAAATGAATTGCCCTCTGGGATCAATAGCTTTCTGAATCTTAACCCTAACCTTTTCACAGTTTCCTAATAGTGGTCACCAGAAGAAACATACTGCCCACTGCTATCATTATAATTCCGCTTCATGCCTTTAAAAAGCTCTGGTTCCGTACATCTGCCTTTAGGTGGTCAGCACGCACTGTTAACCAGGAAGGAAATGCACCCGCTCTTGTAAATATGACCTCCTCTATCTCACGTCTCGATCTTTCTTTCCACTCACACTATGACAAATACGAATAAGTCAATTGGAGAAACCACAGCTCTGTAAAATTCAACTGAATAATGACCTCAGTGGCCAAACCCTTCGCACTGGCGGACGTTGGGCTGGCTCGCATTAAAAACCCATTTGTGACCGAAAATAATCACTATCGACTGTTATTTCAATCTAGTCGCAAACGGAAACTCAAATTGACCATCAAGGGTTGTGGAAGAAAATATGCCTCCCGAGCTGCGATGTAAAGTTTCAATCTGTGAGACCAAAGATTCCAGTTTTGTGCGGCTCTGGGCTGAGATTCGTAATTAACAATAAAATTAGAAATTAGGGCCACAGAAGAAAAAGTAACCCAGCAGTGCTCCTTGGTCTGTTTTAGTGGAAGTTTGATCACCATTGTTGTAATGTTATAGTAAGTATGTGAGTAATATTTATTTATGTAGTACATTCTACAGACTGAGGTCACCAAAAGCGCTTTACAATTTTCTGAGTACAGATATTTGCCCCAAACCAACACCATTCATTCACTCCCTCATTACATTCATACCTATTGTACATGTTTTGGTGATAGGGGAAACCAGCGGGAGAAACATCCGAACTCCACACAGAAAGGAACCCAGGAGAGATAGACACCTTATTTTACATCGATATTGTTTATGTAAATGGAGATATGAATAATTAGAACAGTCTAATCAAGTAGTGTTTTTAAAGTCAGCACGACCTGGCCTCATTGGGTTGGAGCCAAACACTATGGGTGACGTCACTTCTTTAACTAGTGCAGCAGAGTAAAAAAAAAAAACTTTTTAAAACCCATTTATTTGTGTCATAATTTAAAGTCCATCCATCCATCCATCCATTTTCTACCCTTTAATCCATTTCTGGGTCAGGGGGGTGGCAGTCAGAGATGCCACCCAAGTCTCATAGCACCAGCCCCTCACTGACCCTCTGCAGGTGGTGAGTCCACAGGAGGACTCTCTGAGTGTAAGCATAGCCATGATCTTTCAGCGGGGGCTTTGGGCAAAGTGGGGTTAAGTGTCTTGCCCAAGGACACAACAACAGCAGTCATCAGTGGGAGTTGGTGGAGAAGGTGCAGAGGTGGGAATTATCAATTCAAAGCGGCAAGACTTGTCAGTAAGAACAAGCAGAGAGCGGATGTGTTTGTCATGGCTTAATTTATATCAGAGAATACAAGTCACATTTGGCACCTCACCGTACAACACAGTGTCATGTACGTAACAGCAGGCATGATAATCACATCACAACTGCAACTAATGGTCACATAACGACTCCACAGCCGAGGACGAACATTACGAAGAGAACTGCTGTGTGCAAAACAATGAACGTCTGAATCCTGAAATCCAAATTCTAAATGATTATATTAAGTTGCTGTATTGAGGTCAATGGGCTACAATGGCATGTTCTACCTTTTTTTTACAGACAAGAAAACAATCGTAACATTTCATTTATTCATTAATATTTAGCAAACATGTAAATTTAAGTTATATTGTTAAACATACTTTAACAATTGTCCAGGAGTCTTCAACGACATCTCTTTATATTTGGTCCCGTTTTGGTTCAATCCAAAGTAACTGAACTCATTTTGTTCAGAAAAATCAAATGGGTCCTATTTAATGCAAAGCTTAGGGACAAGGTTTGCTAATTAGCTGTTAGCTTTATGGCCTATGAACATGGCATTGGTTATTCGTAGCAATGCTTTTTGTTCGGTCCCTATCAAATAAAAATATCAACTAATAAATAAAAGTAATGTATCAAAATACCATCAAAATGTAAAACAGAATGATAATAAAACAAAACTAATGTTGTTCTTTCTGCCCCCAACCAGGTCTTACATGTTTTATTCGACTCCCCTGGACTATGGTGTGCTCCGCTTCTGATCTTGTAAATCTGTGTTTGTAACTTTTTTGTTTTTTAATTACTGGACTGGAGATGATTGTAATGATTTCAGCTTATGGGATCCATATAAATGGACAAATAAACAAATTCTGTTTACCACTGAATTACAAAAAATAAATTGTTCAGACAACTTTTCTTTTTATTGTTAGATTAACTTTTTCATTATCTGTTTTATCACAAGTGCCTGATTATCTGAAATGTTTGTTCAGCTCTTGCTCTGAACTGGTTAAGGATAGATTTATGATCTCCGTAGGGAACTGTGTCCTCTGCATTTGACCCATTCTACTATAGGGCCTCTGTCAGGAGCAGTGGTCGCTGACGTAAAATTAGGATATTGTATTTACTATGTGAAACTAAAACATGCCAGACTCATTACATGCAAAGTGAGATGTATTAAGCCTTTATGTCAGGGTGCCCCAGGGCAGCTGTGGCTAAAGATAAAGGTGTACTTTAATTATCTCCGTAGGGTAATTCATCCTCTGCGTTTGACCCATCCTGATGCCACTTGGGCGTCTATCAGGAGCAGTGGTCACCGTAGTACAACACCCGGGACCCATCTCCAGCTACAGTTGTAGTTTATCACTGTGTATGAAGTGAAAGAATCGTCTTTGTGTGTCGGCTATAGAAAACTGATGCATTATTAATATTAACATGTTTATGATCATTTTTCTTTAAAAAAAGAAACAAATCCCCCAATATTTTGAACATGGACTGTGAGCCCTAATCATCAAAGTATTAGCAAACAAAGGTTTTGTATGTAATGAGTCTATATCATGTATTAGTTTAACATTATAAGTTGAATACCAGAAATCTAAAAAAAGAGTTGCCCCTGTGTAGTGGGTGTCGTTACCTTTCACAAAGCGTGAGCATCCATGAGGCGCTGAGCCAGAAGAGCAGGATGAACACCAGCAGTGTGCGGGCCGGGTACTTGTTCATGAGCACTTTGAGCACAAAGCGGAAGGTAAAGTTGATGTTGTTCAGTGAGCCGATGCTCCTGTAGGAGGCGCTCAGGAGCACTTTGCTGTGGAGGAGGATGGCCCTGTGCACCAGGTACAGACGCATGAACATGAGCACCGACAGCAGCAGCTCCAGGTTGGTGAAGCCTTGGCCCCAGTGTCCCGTCACACACAGGGGGTAGGAGGAGGAGGAGGAGGGGGTGGAGGAGTTGTACGGCAGGCCCCTGTCCCAGTACGAGCCAACGGGATGCACCGCGCACACCAGCAGCTCCAGCGAGATCACACACACGCGGTGACTGGTCATGGCGATGCGCCAGTCCACCTGGTTGTGGTCCATGACAAACAGCTGCAGGAGAAAGAAATCCAGATGACAGCGGTCATATATTCTATTAATAATAACACACATACTAGCCATATATCCGTATGACATTCTGAGAACTAGAATATTTCTGTAATTCAATATAAAGGGGCTTGATGAATTACCTGGTTAAATTAAGGACAATATACTGTATGTGCCCCAGAAAACCCGCACATATCATATTTGACCTTTTCTAAACAAACATTTAAACTAGACTGTGTCCTAATTTAAAAATGCTATAGTAAATCAAGCAGAATATACAACAAAGAGTCAGTTTCAAGTTTTTTTGGTGTATTAAAAGTATAATTTTGTGAATCAATCATCACAAAATCTTTTGTACACTGGTAATAAAGAAACTAGTGATTCACCATTTGACTATTTGGGCTGAGAGCTGATCTGCTGAGTGAGGCTGGTCCTTTTTTCCTTTTCTGTCTGAAAAACATGAAGATGGGGCCAAAACAGAGCAGATTGATTTAAACAATCTGCTTTGAGAGCGAGGATCTTGTTACATGAATATTGTCACATGCAGCCATTTTTTTTCTGTTTTGAAAATGTCAGTACCCAGCTAGAAATGTGTATATATCCACAGATCCATGTTCCATAGTTTTATTTTTACTTTTTATTTGCAGGTTCATTCAACCTGGCATGTAATTCTCCACCTGCAGAAAGCTATGCACTGTGTCTTTAACCATAAGTATCAAAAAAGTCATTTGTGTTTTTTGCAGGATGGAGGATTGGTAAAACACAACATCTAAGTCCTCCCACCTCTGTTCTACCCCATCTCTTGTTTATAAAGTTCACAGGGATGATTAACAATCCATTACATATTTAGACATAAGGTTTCTATTGTGAGTTGATCCATAGAATCAGAGCGGTTATGTCATTACATTTGTCGCTGTGTGTCAAGCCCCACCCCTCCCTCCCCTCCCCTCCCTGCTCTTATCTCCAGGGGCCAGGAGGGCTTCCATCTCTTGTCTCGCTCTCACGCCGCATGACACGTTCAAAACATCACAGCAAAGAAACACCTGCACCAGACAGTCTGTGCTTGTGGTTATACTTTATTTGTTGTATATTGGGTTTTTTTGTCTTTATGTTTACATATATGATAATGGACATTCAAGGGGAAATTGGGAAAATTAGAATATTTTATATATATAATATATATACTCAAAGGTCTGTTCACTTCTGTAATTCAACTTTCAATGTGAATCTAACATAGAACAGACTCATTACAACCAAAGGGAGATATAGACCTGTTCTCTGTTTATGGGCTCATGCGGTGATTTCGTGCATGAGGGGCACATAACCTCATAAAATCTTAATATCGTAATTTTGTTGCGGGCCTCGAGCAATATTTTATCTTGCAGCAGAAAAAAAACCAAGATTTATATTGAAATACCAAGATTTATATCCATCCATAGCCTCGCAACACAGTACAGGCCTCGTGCTGGTGCCCAGAGTCAGGGAAGGCAGCATTTCAGATTCATGCAGGTAAAATCTGGAACTGTCTTATTTAACAGGCTTCTGACAATGTTCAATGTATGTAAAGACAGTAATAATAATAATAATAATAATAATAATAATAATAATAATAATAATAATAATAATAATAATAATAATAATAATAATAATCTGTTTTATTTATTGGGCGACAGTAGCTCAGTTGGTAGAGCAGAGAGTTGAAGGATGTGGGTTCAATTCCCACCTCTACACCTTCTCCACCGACTCCCACTGATGACTGCTGCCGTTGTGTCCTTGGGCAAGACACTTAACCCCACTTTGCCCAAAGCCCCCACTGAAAGATCAAGGCTATGCTCACACTCAGAGAGCAGCCGTCCTCCTGTGGACTCACCACCTGCAGAGGGTCAGTGAGGGGCTGGTGCTATGAGACTTGGGTGGCATCTCTGATTGCCACCCCCCTGACCCAGAAATGGATTAAAGGGTAGAAAATGGATGGATGGATCTGTTTTACATAGTTTCTTTTTTAGACACTCAAAGACCCTTCACATGTCATTATTCATTCACTCCATACACGGTGGTGGTAAACTGCTACAGTAGCCACAGCTGCCCTGGAGCACCCTGACAGCATCGAGGCAACCAGTATACGCCATTGGCCCATGCTCTACCAACTGAGCCACTGTCGCCCCAATACTGTTAACTTGTGAGGAGAGGACACTGTGCAGCTGTAAACACTGACATTATATTTTGGATACATGACTCACTGTGGAGATTAAACCAAAACTAACTCCTGTGATCAACCTCCTGGGCAATGATCTTGGTCAAATCGCAGGTGTTTTTGAGTTAATAGGTTGATAGAACGAGTTAACAGGTTAACAATTCGTTATCTTCCCGGTTTGTGTTGTTGTAAAAGATCACACTTCTGAATTTAATTTTGCTGACATGAAAATCCAGAGATGAAGACACATAAACACAAGCAAGTCAGAACTAACTCAAAAACTCGAGTTTCTGAGGAACTTATGAACACCATATTATTCAGGCTCAACTCCCTCTGCTTAGAGGGCCATTTGATACCGCTTGCGGCTTTAATAACGGTTATGTTTCTTCACTTATGTCCACAACATACACCAATACAGACTCAGACTTGTGCATCATCACCTTGATGTCTTTATAATGGAACGCCACGATCAGGATCAGGAGACAGCCGGTGGACAAGCTGATGGCTCCATTGATGAAAACTGCACTTTTTGAGCCCTGCAAAAACAAAGAGGATAATAATGAATGAAAACTATGTCCGACTTATCTTCATTGCAACACAATAACACACAAACCACAGCACGTTTGACCATGTTCACAGTTTAACAAGATCCAGTGCTTTATTTGGAAACCCTCATATCCAGTTCCACCGTCGCTCAGCAGCTGACACAGTGGAAGATTAGCAAACGGACATGTGCAGCTTCATGTGGTCTGTCGTTAAAAAAGATAATTAGAAACTCTCCGACTGCAGGAAACCGGAGCGTGTAGGTGGTACGCAGAGTGACGTCCTTTGGCAAAGACCAGCGGGTTTTCCAGAGCCTCAGCCACAGCATCCACTCCTGCTCAGTGTCAGGGGCTAACGAGGGGCCCACAAGTACTCGGAGCATTGCTAACCAAGCGAAGACAACGGAATCACTTTAATTTCACTGGCAGTAAATGGGTTTGGTTTTTTTCTTTTGTCAGTGATGGCGGTGAGATGTAGGGTCAGAGAGTGTTTGGGCCAGTATAACAGCATATGTGTGTACATACAGATGAAAGTTGGAAGATTAGAATATCCCTCAAAAGTCTATTTACTTCTGTAATTCAGACTATTATACGACAGAAATATACCAAGTTTTTTCTTTTTAAATTATGTTGATAAATTTGTCTCACAGCTTGTAAAATCACCACAAAGATCTCAGAAAATGTAGATCAAATTATAACAAAGGCTTGGCATATGAATGCAATTCAAAGGATAATTACAGCAACAAATTAACTTTCAACAAAATTCTGTTCTTTCGAGTTTCGCCTGTATGTCATTTTTATGTGTATTATATGTAGGGCTGCAACAACGAATCGATAATATCAATAAAAATCGATTATTAAAAGCGTTGGCAACGAATTTGGTTATCGATTCGTTGTGTCGCGCAATTAATACGTCACAGAGCCTGCGAGTTGGGCGCATTCTTGTAGTTCTACGGTTGAACGGACGGACGCACATGCACCACAGAACTACACAACACTGCATGCACACTGCCGTAAAACTCCACAGAAGAAGAGCAGAGTGTGGCGAAGGTGGTCATTTTTAATACAGTCTATGGTGGAGGCATTCATTTGAGCAAGACTGCGTTGAACCAGTGCAGAATAGCGACGTGAAAGAAGCGTGCGAGAGAGAGGGCAGGGGAGAAGAGAGAGAGCGGGGGAGATGAGAGAGAGAGCGGGGGAGACGAGAGAGAGAGAGCGGGGGAGAAAAGAGAGAGCAGGGAAGACAAAAGAGAGAGCAGAGCAGGGGAGACACATTTTATGAAAATTCTAAAATCCACAATTTCCAACGCCATATGACGTCATAATATGCTAATTAGATGGGTACACTTATTCCCGACATAAAACTTTTGGCCATCCTTAATAATCTCCTATCACTTTTAAGTTACAGCCTTTTGAAATAAAAATTTCAAACTTTTTTGAGTATATGCACTCAACAACGTACAATTACCCTAAAAATGACTTAATTACACAAACGCGTCTTGTCTGTATTGCTCTTTGGGTTAAACAACAAAACCTGTTTTTGTGCACTTTACTTTATACTGCATAGCATACATTTGTATGTTTCTTTGTGTTGATCCAAGGCCACGTTTTTCAATAACGGGATGGAAACAAAAAATGCTTTTTTTATCCGATTAATCGATTAATCGAAGAAATAATCGACAGATTAATTGATTATTAAAATAATCGTTAGTTGCAGCTCTAATTATATGTATTTATGTTTATGTATTTATTTATTTTCTTGCTGTGCTAAATGTAATCTCTCAGTTCGCCCATCCTGATATCTTGTTTTTCCAACGTCAGACCCATCTATGAGCTTTGCGTAGCTTTCTAGGGTGTCCTTTTTCGTAATCTCATAAATACACACACACAATGTATCGACTATTGTGATATTGTGAAGAATAAGATTGTGATGAAAAGATCTCTCAATTTATGTGTAAACTAGATTGCTTTTATTCATCAATTATTTGTTCTACCACCCACATTCCCTGCGCTACTCAGAGTCCGAGTTGGTTCATAGAGCCACTTGTTCCGACTCTCTCAGCCTTAGGCAGGTATGTTGCCCCTTTACTGTCTTTGTGAAGCCAATTGAGTCACAGTTTCATTATATACTGTCAATTAAATGTGTTCTTTTTCTTCTAAGGCAAACTCCACTGCACACAGGCCCATACCCCAGGAGTCAACCCCAGGAACTTGCCAGTGGTGTTTTCTCTTCATCATATGCAACACAAACTTGTTCTTGTACAAGTTTGGCAGAGATTCACACCACACTCATTTATTTCTTTTTAATGATTGAATGTACTGCAGTAGACAATGCACTGTGGTCTTCTAGTGACTTTTGTTCAATAACTTGGTTTGTTAGATGGTGTGGTTTGATGGTTTTTGTGTAATAAAACAGAAGTATCCTGTCATTAACTTAGGGACAGGAAGAGAAGCAGCACCACAGGTTGTTAAACGGTGCAATCTGCTTCACTGAGGTCATCTCGGACACTGCTGTGATCAAACACCTATTCATTAAATACAAGGAAACATAAAGTGCAGGAACTTTACTGTTGAGAGGTGTGAAATTAGCTCCTGCGCCTGGACGCAAGACTTGTGTGAGATCCTTCTATTTCAGGCTCTTTTTTTGTCTACAGTGAATTGATTTCATTGATATCTAAAGTATCATGACAATGTCAGAAAACATAATTTTGCCTTATGTTTTCTCTGAAATGCTGGCAAGCTGATGTCACTATTTAAGTTATCCACCATCAATAAGTGGCAACACAAAAAATATGATTTTAAATCCAAAGTGGGAGCTCGATATACTACTCATACTATGTTCCCACTCGCAACAACCCTCACACCAACCCCCAACCACCCTCACCTGCCCTTATGAGCTTTGGGAAGTAACAGAAAGGACGAGTGGCTGGGCGCTTCCTAGGGCCGCAGTCACACTGAAGGAGCTCAGAGTGGTGCTACTGCTCCACCTCGTCAAGCGGAGCATCTACTTGGGCATCCTCCTGGACCCCTCCCTAAGAGATGTTCTGGGCATGTCCCACCAGGACGGCTCGGGCAAGGACTGAGGAGGAACTCTAGCTCTCAGCCTCACGTCCTGAAAGGTGCACGGTAACAGACTCGGCAACGAATAAAGCAGAAGAAATCGGATGGGTGATTTCAAACGCAATCTCAGCATTTTTTCACAATGATTGTTGAACAGAACACTGCTGAAAATCTAGTATTTAAATAGAAAAGGTATTGTAGCCTGTGTTGGTGTTTAAAAAGTGTTTGTCTTCTCTGTGAATGAATGAAATTGAATGAAACATGTACAAAAAAACAGTTAAAAAGTAAATGTTTACATTGAATTCACGAGCGTGTTGTGTAGTAGAATTCACCAGGACCTTAGTACAGTTTTAGGAGTCAGAACAGAGCATCCTTCACACTGCTCCTAAACGAAGCAAAGCCGTGCAAACAGTCTAATTATCCACTCAACCATGTGGAAAGATAGCCTCCAGTCCACAGCCATCCAGCTCAAGGGGAGGAGGAGAAATGTGGAAAAAGGTCTAATAATAGCTTTGTTTTCTGGCATAAACATGAAAAGGTGCAGATTTTGGGAAGTTTTAGTGGTGAGAAGTTCCACAAGAGAATTTCTATCACATGGTTGTAGGTCCTGTAATAACTATGAATACACAAAATTACAGAAAATAAATTGTACAGTCTAACTTTTCCTTGCAATTGAACAGGTATACACATACTGTATGGTGCATGCACAGGACTATTCTCTTTGAAAGACAGCTGGGACAGGGGGGGGGGGCGGCAAGAAGGTCCTGGGTTCGAATCCCGGTCGGAACAGGGCCTTTCTGAGTGGAGTTTGCATGTTCTCCCCATGTCTGCGTAGGTTTCCTCCGGGTGCTCTGGTTTCCCCTACCACTAAAAACATGCACAATAGGTATGAATGTAAATGAGAGAGTGAATGTGTTGGTTGGGAGCTGATGCGGCAGTGTGTTCGGCGACTCGCTGTGTGTGGTGTAATTGGAACAATATCTGAACTCTGAACATTGTAAAGCGCTTTGGGTGACCTTGGTCTGTAAAATGCTCTATATAAATAAACATTACTTACTTTCTTAATACTTACTTACTCTAAAGAACTTTTGCTGTGTCCCTAGGCAAGACACTTGGCCCATGTTGCCTCATATGAGTCTGGTGTGTGAGGGAATAATTGATGATGGTTGAAGGGGCGGAGCATATTAGCTGTTACTGTAGTAGTTTATCACCACCGAGTATGGTGTGGTTACATCCTGCAAGCTGCACATGTAGTCGAGTATGGAGTGACGGCTGGTAATCCGTCTGTACTGTGTAGAAAGAGTCATTACTGTCACTCTTTAATTGTGAATTTTGAAAAACGTCCTTTGTACGAATCTGTTTCTCTAGACAATGCGATATGTGATTCATAATTTGGATGTGATACTAGATTTACACTAGGACGTCCAGAACAGTCAATTTGACTGCTTTCATTTCTGTAAGCATGGTTACTAAGCTTATGTACATTTGGTCCTCTTAACTTTATTATGTTTATGAAATAATGTTTTATTTTTTGAAATGCAGAATGTTTTTTTGTTAACTCCCAGTCATTTGGACTGTTCCATAAAGGTCCATATAAAATTCAAATGTCATTTTTGGTCACTCAGTAAGAGCCCTTTTTCTCCAAGGCACTGGTTCTGAGCTGGTTTTCCACCAGAGAAGAGCGAGTGTTAGTTACAGTGCACTGTAAAGAATTTCCTTGTAGAAAAACGGTAAATAGCTGGCAAATATGGTTCCAGGAATTTACAATTTTCTCAACATGGCATTACCGTTGCTAATTTTAAGGGTTAAAGATTGTTTCACTGAATCAAATTATGACTTTGTGATTTCAGGATTTAACTGTATGTTCCTGTTAATTCACATGCAACAAAAACAGCATTATAATGTTCATTTTGTATTATCACACCATATGACTGTTTCTGTTTCTACTTAGTTTCATTGAACAAAAAACTACGCAGTTTAATTTATTTTACTTTAATGAACACATCTTTTCAATTATTTTTAACATCTTCAGTTTATACAAGAAAGTAGTAGAAGTCTTTACTTCTATAACATGCTTAATGCAAAAAGACCATTTTAACTAAAGCAGGAGTTTATATGTGTAAGAGGTAACTTTCACACTCATGGTTGCTCGCTAGCAAAAATTTCCCAGCTTTCCTAAAATACAACAAATTTATGTTAAATTACAGTAATAATACTATAAAATCACAATGCGATTTTATGGTATTGTAACGTTTTATTGTAATCACATTATTGTGGTAATAAAACGCCACTGGAGGTTTTTTAACCAATTTATACTTAAATTTGCATGTTTGAATTGTTTTTCAAAATGACATTTGTTTAATGTTGAAATTTCATTGTAATTTTACAGAAATTTGTTACAGTGTGTTTACTTGCTGCAGTAAGCATTTGATTTCCTTTTTAAAAACTGATTTTGATGTAATTCAAGTGATATTCACCAGTTTTAGCAATTATTTAAAGTGAGTAAGATTAAAGCTAAAAAGTTCATAACTTTTTATAAAACTGGTGGAAAGCTAACTTTTTGGGGGGGTGTCAGAATTCCATAGATTCCCATGGGCACAGTCAAAAGGACGGCTCTCGGAGTTCAAGTAGTTTCAATTCTGGGAATCCTAGCATTAAACCAGATCAAAAAATTGATACAGCATCATTTACGCATCATGTACATCGGACATAGCTGCTGCTCTGAAGCTAAATGAGGAGAGCTGCTTCTTCTAAACAACATTGTCCAAGTCTTTCCAGTGCATCAGCGTTTCCACCCAGCACTAAAGCAGATGCCTGGTGTAAGGCCTGGACACAACACACCTGTTCTTGGTTGCTCTCTCTAAGCTCGATAACCCTGCCGCTCCAATGTGTTTCTTCACATTGAATGAAGCAGATGGAATACATTTGCATTGTTTGTTCAAAAAAGTGAGTTCGGCACTTTGGGTTCTTGACAATGTAATCAATCATTGGCGAGACCTGAGGTGGTCTGCAGAGTGCCGTGAGAACTTCTCTTTTGCCCCGTGCGTGCAGCAGTGTGCGGTGTAAAGTCAGGGGAGCTAATAATTTGTTGATTATGGTCCCAGCATTGTTATCTGCTGAGATCTGCATGTTCATGTCATGAGGCCGTGCTACCAAATTGGGTGTGTGGTAATCAGCCGGTCGGAGGGGGTCAGGGCCCAGGTGCAGAGCTGCTGTGAGCACATGTCTGCTGCTACAGTGGGGCGCAGAAACTCTGTGATGCAGGCTTTAGAGTGAGGCCATGTGTTAAGACTGGCCTTACTAATATATAAATTTCAAACATATTGTTTGAAATTACATAGATGGACTCGATCTACAGTGGGGCAAAAAAAAGATGAGAGTAATCCTCCTTGTAGGTCCGTGTTTCCCAGCGACAGCCTCAACATCAACATTGCTGCTCTAGAAGAGATCTGCAACGTTGTACATGTTATATACCCGTCAACAACGGGTATATAACAATTATATATTTACTGAAAAAAAAGTATGAAACAACTAAAAATATGTCTTATATTCTAGGTTCTTCAAAGTAGCACCTTTTGCTCTGATTACTGCTTCGCACACTCTTGGAATTCTCTTGATGAGCTTCAAGAGGTAGTGACCTAAAATGGTTGAAGGAGTTCCCAGAGATGCTTAGCACTTGTTGGCCCTTTTGCCTTCACTCTGTGGTCCAGCACACCCCAAAACCATCTGGATTGGGTTCAGGTCCGGTGACTGTGGAGACCAGGTCATCTGGCCCAGAACCCACCACTCTCCTTATTGGTCAAACAGCCCTGACACAGCCTGGGTGTGGATCCACAGTCAATAGTCATGAAAAGAAAGGAAACTCATTGAATGAGAAAGTGTGTCCAAACTTTTGGTCAGAACTGTATATAAATATGTATAATTTGTGTGCCTTGAGAGGTGCGAGAGGCATCAGGCCCCAGTGTTAACAGATGAGGCTCCATGACTATGTTGCAGTGCACTATGACATGGCTAGAGGGGGCTGGGCTGGGGGCATCCGCTCCACTCAGCTTTGTTCCAATTCCAACATTATGCAAAGCATTGTCCCCCCTGTGGTTTGATTTTATTGTGCCTAAATTACCGCTAAATTTGGTCCTACAGGTCACACTCAACACACCTCGGCAAAAAATACCTCGTATGGCGTGTTGGATCCTGAATCATTCAGACACTCCAGCCTGTGTCGCCCAGTGTGGAAGAAGAGGGTGCCTCACTGTTTTTGGTCAAATTAAAAATCACATCTATTTCTTTGAGTTATGTTGCACAAACAGTCAGACTCAGTCATATAAACTATCAGAATAAAATACAAGTTTCTGTTTTACAAAAATTACTATATCTATCTATTCTATCACCAGTTTTCTATATCACCATGTAACAGTGACTCACGGGGCTTTTTCTTACAAGTATGCATAAGATAACATATGTTCTAAAAAGTTAAAGGCAGCATGTTGTGGTCTGCAAAAATAAATGTTTACAAGACTATTTCTGTTGGGACAGACAAAGTGTAATATTTATGAAACAAAAAAGTTATAGGCTTCTGCAGCTTTCACCACATTTCCAGACTCTGGTGAGTGATAAGATTATGTTTTTCATGCACAGTGTTTTTAGCATCAGTGCCGAAAAAGAAACGTTTGACGACCAGTAAAGAGGACTTATTGACTAATAACTAAACTTCAGCCACATCTGGAAACTGATTTGAAACTGAAAAAGAGACCTCCCTTTTTAAAATAATTGCATCATTTTGGAAAGTCTATAATGGCAACTGAAAACTCTCTTTACTTATTGTTTATTTTTATCCAAAGAAAATATATAATTATTTGACCCTCACTATACTGTATAGGACCCTCGGTTGCTGAGGTATAAAGGGCAATGACGGCCAATACCAGTCTACTCGACTCAAATCAATGTAAAATCATCCACTGAAAACACTTTTTAAGATTTTCAGCACAGTCTAACACACACTCACAATAGATATACAAGCAAATGAGTGAGTGAGTGGCAAACATGTTTTATTTATTTTCTTACTTGTATTCATTTCTTTTAAACTTAATTTTCTAAGTGAAGTTTCAAAGTTCATTACAAAGCTTTGAAATGATTAGCCATGCTACTAAGTTCAGTAAGAGGCTTGAAGAGGTTTGCTATGCTTCTACGTTCATTTATATAGGCTGGATGTGGTTAACCATGCTTCTAAGTTCATTGATACCGGGTGGAAGAACCTGTATCGATTTGAAGTTAATTGATAGATGTTTGAAGTGGTTAGCCGTGCTTCAAACATTACATGTACATGATTGTCTTGCAAAGAGTTTTTGTTGACCCAAGTAAGGTTGTATATTTATGTTGTGCTGTAGATATGTATTTGAGTGTACATTTTGTGCAGGTGCAACACAATCTTAAGGGAAAGAAGCAAGTTTTCAAAAGACATGTTGACAAAGAAAAATTTCCAAATGTTTTCCAGATCACCATTTGATAGTGATTAGATTCACAAAGCCGCAATATTATTCTTTTGTCAGAAAGTCCTTACTGGCCAACATCATGCACAAGTTTGTGAATGTTGCCAACACTTTTAGACACACAGAAATGAAAAGACCATTGCTATTTACTGACAAAGAGGGAACTTTGTGACGCTTATTGTTTCACGTGGATCAGGAATGAGAGAAAATAGCTACAAATCTAAGTTTTTATTAGCTGCCTTCCATCACATTGTGTGTTGAGTGACCACAATTGAGTATAGTACGTTGGCCTTACAGTACTCTTTATATATATATATATATATATATATATATATATATATATATATATATATATATATATATATATAAGTGATATAATAATACTCACGGGGTGGTAGACAGCAGGGCACATCTCCGCGTGGACGATCATCAGAAGGACCCCCAGCAGCGCCGTGCCCAGAGCCAGGGCGCACAGCCGCTTCTTGTCCTCTATCAGCAGTTTCCTGTCGCGCAGCCGGTACAGGTCGTCTCCTTCCACGGGATTCATCATCCGCTTCCCCGGGATCGACAGCGGCACGGAGACCTCGCAGTCCCCGCCGTTCATGAAGCCGTCACAGTTCACGCAATCCATGTTGGAAGCCCTGCGCGCGCCCGGCCTGATGACGCTGCTCATGGCCAGGTACGCACGCTGCTAGAAACGTGCGTCTGTGTGCGCGCGCTCCTCCAAAGTGCGTCTGTCCGTGGGCTCCTGCACAGTCTTGGCGAAATTTGCCTTTTCTGATTTGCGTCGCTCCCTAATAGTTAGTAGCGCTAACTGCTCTCTCCCCACTCTGTTTTATCTCCACTCTTTTGCATGGCTTGGGGTTATTGCTCTGACACAATGCGTCATGGATAGACTGATAATAGAAAAAGAAGAAAAGAAAAAAAACACAGAAAGCAAGAAAAAAAGTGGTGGTTTCGGGACAGAGCTGACCATATGTTAAAGTATTCAAAATAAACGAGAGGAATTTGCACAATCTACATCATGTTTATTTTTTCTTTATTGTCTATTCACGCTCCTCTGTCAGGCGCATTCACGGGTCCATTGCGCCCTCTTGTGGTTAAAAAGCTCCGGCAATCCAAAAAGTGTCCACGCCATAAAACATGCGTAAAAAGGGCTTTTTTTATGTTAATCATCCAAAGACATGTGGCCCACTTCCGTAGATGATGTGAAAAGTTTGAGCTTGGTGGGAGAAATTACAGATTTTCCATTAACATGGGAAGTTTACCCCATCTCAAATAATGGAGTTTGCATGTTCTCCCTGTGTCTGCATAGGTTTCTTCTAGGTACTTTTGCTTCCCCTACCACAAAAAAAAAATATGACCCATAGTTCAGGAAGAATGAGTGTGGGAGTGAGTGACTGTGCTGAAATTGGAGCTGCAATCCAGAGAAGTGTGTTCATTAATGTACATTAATCAATAATATATTTTAACCCTATTGCTATGCCCAGGTCAAATTAACCCACCACAGTGACAAAAAAATACAAAACAAATGTGGGCTGAATTTTCCTAACTTGTTTGACCCGAGGATATCATAAGGGTTAATACATGTTATTATCATCATTATTATAGTCTATGTTTGAAATCTGCAGCCGTGTTCATCTGTCCCGCTTATGCTCTTCCACAATAAATCACAGCATATTTATATGTTCAACGTTGAGGTTTATTATATTTTCTCACACACAAAGATCAACAAGGATTTGCTAAAAAAAAAAAAAAAAAACCTTCCCACTGGCCAGTGAAGATCATAAACTCTACTCATCCCTGAACTTTAGAAATGACAGAGAAATACCAGTTTCAAAGTGATACAGGACATGAGCCGCAAAAAACGTGGTGGCAACATACAGTGAACCATTATTATTATTAGAAAATGCATAAATGAGCTCAAAATGCAAAGATGAGGCATTAAAACATGGTGTAAAACTGAAGGCAAAGCAGAAAGCACCAGATAAAGCAGGCAGACCACACAACCTGTAGACTATAATAACGTTTATATAAAAATAAATAGTATCTGATGTGTTAGCTGTGCTGGCCCCATTATCATACAACAATTATTTACAAGCAGTAGTAAAATATTTTAGTTTACAGCCTTTCTAGTTACAAATTCAAATACAAAAGAACAATAATTATACAAAACGTGATTATCAAATACAAAAAAGAGAACTTGAAGAAAAACAGAACGCCACCTGAATTCAGCATTATGGAATTAAAACAACTATTGCTTTAGGTTCCTGAGAAAAAGCACCCAATGATTGCTACCATTTAAACATGTACAATTGATTATATTATCAGTGCAGACCGGATTTTGACAATTCAAAATTTTGGAAAACCATTTGTTTGATTTTGATTTTTACTTATAAAAACTGGCGATTTTCTGAGGATGGATTTCGCGATACAGGTGTGTGGGTGAAAATTCAAACGGAGAAAATAATCAATGTCTAAACCCTGAGGCCTGGAATATTTTAATGCCAAATTTAAATATTTTCCTCTTGTATATAAAAATATACATCAATTTCAAATTCATTCATTCACAGTCAAGAATTCATATATTGATGAAAATGTGAATTCTATGTTGGCTGAATTGTTGCAAAATAGTGATAAAGATTCTGAGCAAAATATCAGAAATATTGGTTCCCCACAAAACATTAAACAAAGAATTGAATACATATTAGTCAATCTGCAAATATACCATCACCAGCAATTGAGAGGAGACCGAGGATGCGGAATCACAAGGAAAAGAGTCGTGAAACTGGGGGTTGTCTGACCATTAGAATTTAAATATTCTGTAAAATAGACTTTTAACATTTGTGTATTTTTCCAGGAAGGAATCTCTAAGATGTTCTTGCCAGCTCCAGATGTGCATTTCAAATAAAGAGAAAATAATTCCCAGTTCTAGTTCTTTGCATTTTACATATCGGTATCGGCCAGAAGAATTCATGCATCATTGACCAAAACAGGGACTGGGAAAATCTAACCCTTGACTTTCATGGAAAAAACTATTTAAGCAAGAAAATAAACAAATGCATAGATGAGAGTTTGATCTGACCTGAATCAAAGAGAATACCAAAATCTTAATTTAATTTGAAGATAATTAAATTAACTCATTAATCAACAGATTAATGAGTTGATTTGTACCCAACACTGACACCCTGGAAATGAAATTTTGGATTTCGCCAGGTTTTAAATGTGAAAATCTGCTGAAACAAATGAGCTTCCAGTAGAAACGCGGACCACGCTGATCGATCACAAACGTTCATAAATAGAGCCTTCGGAATCGTGCAAAGATTGTGCAAAGGTGAAGACATGTGCGGAGGCACACGTGGCTCAGTTACAGGGGGCTCCAGTGCTGCTTCTGCTGCTGTCGGGACGCTCAGCCCTTCACGGCGCCCCACGGCTGCAGCGCGGCCTGGGGAAGGATGAACTGTGGGGCAGCCTGGGGCAGGAGGTAGTACCCAACTAGAGGTTGAGGTGGAGGGGGAGGAGGCGCGCACACTGTGGTCACGAACACTGGAGCCTTCTTGTACGGAGACCAGACCTGCGGAGGCTGGTAGTAGTACTGCACGCTGTGAGGGGCCTGGGGACCAGAGGACAAGACATGATGTTAAGTGGACTCATGGTACATGTGTTAGTGAAGGACCAGGATACCTGATCTCTGTAAGGTTTGCTCACTCTACTTGGTGAAACGTTTGGCCACTGTCATTGCAAACAAAAGGTTACATGACCAAGTATTGAGTTGAGTTTAACCAGTTATTGGTCAAATATACTATAATTCTGCTGCCTAATACAAATACGTTTTCAAGTTTAAACATATGACTGCCGCTTTCACAATATTCTTGTAGGCACTAAAGGAATAATGATGCTTCTTCAATGCAAAGGGGCTCCTCTCTGGCCACACCTTATATTTTATTGTTACGCTTTTTTGCTCCACCACATGAAACATTGCAGTAGTATTTACCATATTGTTGAGGTAATTGACTTTCTTCTGTCGGTCTGTGTGGCATCTGCGGGCTCTGGGCACCATGGTGTATGCCACCTCTACTTCCGCCGGCTCTTTTCGCACATCCTTGACTTCCTTCCTGGTCAAGGAAGGCTCCTCAGGCTCTTTGCTCTCCTCTTCTGTGTCGCTGGAGGTGGTGGAGCTACAGGAGGACGAGGCCGAGTGGTAGTCTGAGGTGTCCAGGGTCAGAGGCTCATGGGGCAGACAGTCCTGTGGCGGTGGGCTTTGTGCAGTCTGCTCCGCCCTTTGATCCACTTCTGTGGAGAAGGTGGCAACGGTAAAAGGCCGGCTATTTTCTCCAGATCTGCACAAGAAGAAAAATGGTTAGTTCTAGGATGTGTCAGTCAGAATCAAGCCTCTATTTCAAACTGAAAAAAAAAAAATTATTAAAAGGGGTGAAAAGGGTATCACAATATTAAATCTAGATTTACCCAAATCTAATATGGTGTGGTCTAATCAAAGGCATGGCAATGTACAGACTGTGACTGGATTATTCACAAATGCAGAGAACAGACAGTGTCCCGTGTCCTATGATTTCTTAAGTAGAGCATAAAGGATTTAATTCCGCACTTCAACATAAAACGTTACGCCCACAGTAACCTGCAGCCACACCATGTCATTTACACATTTTGAATTGAGGCTTTGAACCAAGAGGTTTGCTAAAGATTCCATTCCCTAAAATGAATTGACAGGTTTCAAAAGCAGGGCATATGAAGCTATATGGCATATGGATACTGTATATCTGTAGTTTTGTTAAGGAATTCAAAATGAAGTAAAATCAAAACCTTTAAGGCCGAAAAATCTTTTTTTCATACATTTGATTTGGAATCAGACAAAGTGACGCCCTGAATATGTGCAAGAGCTAGAGCACTAGCTAGTACTAATATCAAACGACAGGAATAAATAAAAGATAAAGATCAAGAGGCAATAATAATAAAGCTACATTTTATGATCTGTGTATTCACACTTTCTACTTAAAAGTGTGTGGTTTATGTTCAGAAAATCACGTAATCAATCTGAACATTCCGTGCTTCTGTGGTGTGCTCACTACAGCTGATGTATTCATACACACTTCCTCTTCTAATCTCACACATTTTCCACTTGATAAAACTGACCAATAAGATCAGCGTGTGCACAACACTTTGTCCACACAGTCTGTCCATAACTGTTCTACAGTCCTTTTTACGACTGTATGACATCACTCCTCGTCCAGCCGCACCGTGACTCACCGTGCGCACACCTCCAGAGGGTCGATCCACAGGGTGAGCTCGCGAGGCAGCCCCAGCTCAGAGGGCTCCAGCTCACTCTGTGCACACGCCTGCAGCACGGCCTCGTCCGACAGAACGCCGCTGTTCACTCGGATGCACCTGTGCAGAGAACGAAACACGTTATATATATATATATATATATATATATATATATATATATATATATATATACAACATACATACACAGGGATACCGACTCGTTACATTCCATTTATTACAGGGAGCCAACATGTCTTAATAGACATTCATTTTTTTCTCTATTGTTTCTCATTAAAAACAGTCCTGTAATTGGTTTTAGATCCGTCCACGCCAATATGGGGAACATTTGGCACAAATATGTAATCATGCTCCTTCTGTCTTAGTCTTCTAATAATATGATGTCATTGCACTGCTTTGACATCATACCCAGTAGTTATTGGCATTTTAAAAACAAAAGTATTGTCTCCTAATTAGTTTTGACCATTTCTCAGGGGGAAATTATCACTCTTTACAACTGTGTGGATGTATTTGCAGGGCGTAATCTTTATCTTGAAGTGCGGATTTAAAATCCTCTATACTCTACATGTCTTAGTGTTACGATAAAGGATCCAAGACTAAAACTAGATCCAAGTAGGTTTCATGAATTATCAGCCTACGTCACTTCGCACTCTACAGCGCATGCCGTTTGCAGGAAAAAAACACGCACCATGTTTTTTGCTGTGCTGTTGGCTACACAACCTGCTTTTGAGAAAAAAAGTCAGTTTTAGGTGGATGTCAGGCCACTAAAGTCTGAACCATTATGTCAGGTCATTTGGCCATGCAAGTCTCCCCTTCACCAATGCATAAAGCTGTCAATTGCTTTGTGTAGTGTGCAGACAACACTGCTCGTTAGCATGATTGCTAAATAACCGCAGAAAGAGGGGTCTGAAACTAATTCAAAGGCAATGGTTAGTCCAAGAATGTTAATTTTTTTCATCTAACTTTTAAAACCTCAGCTTTTTTGAAAGACAAATAACGGTGAGATGTGTTATACTAGATTTAGAGGAGTTTTATTCTAGAACGGCCTTCATAACATTGCATTATTTTTTTTTGAGAGTTTGACACTCAACATGATGGAAAAATACAATAGCCATGGCTGTCCAGGGCAAGCGTTTTGCTACGCGGAGGTACCTGAATGCCTGTCCTTTGCTGGGAGTCTCTGGGTACCAGTGATGGTCATATTTGTCGCACAAAAGCTGTTGAAGTTTCTCTGCAAACTTTTCTGCTTTTGCTTCTTCCAGTTTTCCTCGAGCCACAACCAGCCGCTTCAGGAAGTTCACGCCCGCCTCCACCTCCCGTATCATCGTCATGGTGCCTGCAAGAAACAAGCACAATTGCTCAGTCATTTTGTGCTGTAAAAGTCAAAATGAAGGTGGCATTGCCTAGATCTATAGACGGCACGGTGAGTGGAGGGGCCTTTCTGAGTGGAGTTTGCATGTTCTCCCCGTGTCAGCGTAGGTTTCCTCCGGGTACTCCGGTTTCCCCTACCACCAAAAATATGTACAATAGGTCTGGCATGCGCCTCCTGTTTGGCGACCCTGCTCCCATCTCTGTGTGGAGTGAGAGGACAAGTGCCCAAAAATAACAATTGTAAACCGCTTTGTGTCTCTGGTCTGTGAAAGGCGGTATATAAATAAAGATTACTTACTTACTATACTGCAATGCCATACTACTGCACCAACATCATCATAGAGAGAAGCCACTACAAACAGGGCCTGGAGTTTGTGATAGTGATTAGATTGGAGATTTAGGTTTAAATAGTTGGACGACTCTCTTCAGTGTTAACCCGATACTGATACTGATGCTGATACTTTGACTTAAACCGATACCAGAGGAGGGACTGCAGACAATCATTTTTGTTCCGTTAAACCTTAGCTAACTTATCACAAATTGCTCCAAATGCTTTTTAAAACAAAATGTTTAAGTTTTACAAAAATACTCAACTTAAACATAAAAAGAAGCTTCCCTAAAGAAGCTTGTGCAGGAGCCCTAAAAGGTAAGAAGTAAAAACTAGGAAAAATTTGTTATTTTTCAGGCCCAGTTTATTCCCTATTACATACATATAGCCTTGTAAAAGTAAAATCAGACCACAGCATGATTAGACCACGGCCACGTTCATTGTATTAGAAAACATGTCATCTTTTGCGTACTTGTAAGATCAAGGAACTAGTTTGAGCAAGTATTTTAGCTCAATGTTTTGTGCTTGGATAAGTTAGGCACCCCAGCTTTAAGACTTGCTCTACTGTTTAGGCTTGCCTGGTTGCAAATTCCCCCTCACAATGTGGACAGTGTGCACTCTTGCTCAAGGTTATCGCAACAGCCTCGGCTCGTCCCGTGCACTCCCACTGCTATCCGTTTCACTTCATATTTACGGCCACTTCTCTCTGGATCGTGACTTCCTGTGTGCGGGGGAGACGGCCCTACAGCTGCACTGATAACACTGCGTCTCTGTTGCTGCTCCACACCTATTTTTAAACGGTGAAGTCCTTTTTGCATGAGCCTGGGGACTGCTTGTGTGCGCATTGACAAAAGGTCAGAGTTTGTATGCAGTCAAAGTAGTTGCAAATGTCCTGGGCTGTTTTCGAGCGCTGGACCTTCTGACATGCAAATGGCTCTTGTTTACCTTTTGATAGCGGCTGTTTGGGTTGAGCGCCAGTGTCAGCCTGACCGAGGAGGTGTTTTCTAGAAGCCAAGGTGATTCACAGTTTGCAAGAAGAACGGTTACTTTTCAGACACTTAAACTACAGCTGGACAATTTTGGACAAAAGGAGATTTTTTTGGGATAACACTGAGATCCAAATGTGTATTTTTACATGAACTGTTATGAACAATTCTCACCAGGAGCATCATTAGACATGATGCAAATCTTCTTAAAGCTGTGGCACCTAAATCATCCTTTATCTTTTTGAAGATCGCATAAAAGTTACAGCTTTGTCTGCTTCCTACCAAAACAGACATTGTGTTTAATCATGATATAATATAGAAACACACTGCTGGAGACAAAGTTTGAAAAAAATAAGGCTTTAGTTTCCTCTTGAATGATCTATAAGGAGCAAAATGTGAGAAAGCGGCTTCTCCAACTTCCAGTTTTACACAAGGGCCGACAAGTGAGTGCGGATGCTTTCCACATATGATCCGTTTTTGCGGACTACGCAGCGGCCCGCTCCAGTCTCCTGTTGTTTGACAGCAGTCGCCGGGGCCGATGATCCCCGTGAACATGCAAGGCTTGGGCAAAACCAGACTGCAGTAGATTGGAGCCAGTGTATGTTCCAATCCGGACTAGTCAACTCATCTAAAAACAACCTGAACCAGGGTCTGAGTATGTGTATGGCCGGGATCAGGAGGCGAATTCGAAATATTGAGGCTGCAGACTAAAGAATGATTGCCAAAAGGTGGAATCCCCCCTGTCCTGGTGAGTGATGACTTTAATGGACAGTGTGTATTTGGAATTGTCCACAGCAAATTTAAAGTAAACATTTCTTTGTCCTTTTTTCTGTAGTTTTTTCACATTTTGTTGCAGTTTTGGTCATGGACCCGAGTGTGTATGTACACATTTGATATAGTTAAATTGTTATGTTTTTCAATGAATGTTTTATGGCATTGAAAGTATATAAAGCCGTATAAAACATCTGTTTGATGGAAATGTCCCCTGGCTATTATCATACTTACTGTATTCCAACAGTATGTTCCATACACCTAGGCTGATCATGATTTGATTAGATTTTGAATATATTGAAATAGGAGAAGAAATGTTTTCCTGAGGGCAATGGAACCTATTACCACAGTGGAAATATGCACATATCAAGACAAAAACAGCTACATTAAAATACTTCATTACTTCTGTGTGCATAGTGTGATTGTATCCACCTAATCCAATTATAGTTAATACAAATTAATATATTGGTTAGTAATAGGATTAAAAGTAAACCAACATCACTAAGAGAGAAACAAAACATGGTTCTAAAATTCTATTCCATTGGCAAAGCAGTAAGTTTTGTTTTAGGAGATCCAAAAATGTGTTACTGAGAGTTTTGATTTGTGTTTGTCTTTTTACAAATGTTACTTATCAGAAATATATCATCCATTATTCTAATGTCTCTTGACTGATCAGAGTTTTATCTGAGCGCTCAGTGAGCAGAAAACACCTCATTACAGCAAGATTACATCAGAAAAACATCAGCAACAAGTATTATTACTGAGGGTGCAGTGATATCATGTGTACTGTAGTTTGCTTCTATTACAACCTGCTGCAGCCACACGTGTATTTATGCACAAAATACAGCTTTGTGTCATGTTACTGAAGAAAACAGTAATAAAATTCCCAGTGTGTCAATGGGAATAGTGGTCATCATTTTGACTAGTCTTGTGTAATAAAAAACAGCTCTCTCACAAGATGAGAGTTCTCAAATTTTATTAGACCTGTCAAGATTATCAGATTTTTCATTCAATAATCAATGAATGGACAAGATATTTTTGTTTGTGTATAGTTTTTTGCAATAAAAGTAATCAGCCATGATACAATACAATTTCAAGTTGATCTATTTCTTCTTATATGTGCCATATTTAACTCTTTCCCCGTTTTGACTACTGTATATATTTTTCTCCCACCCCACAAACACAATGTGCATGTTTTACGTTTGGAATGTCATCTGTATGGTTAATTATTGTTAATTTGTTTGATCCTTTCAACGTACGACTTTGATGATAAAAAATCCATTTCAATTGATTCTCCAGCAGTTTCATAATTGTTACCAGTGGCACAAAGTCAATATTATCGGAATACATCTATGTCAATATTATGTTATTGTGAAAGGACATGGATTATGAACACACACAAATGTAGTTTCATTACATACAGCTGGTGTCAAATCAAGTCCCGAACACTCCTTTGTGGAACATTTGGCATCATATGTAAAACATAGAATAAAAGGCAAGGGTTTTTAGAGGAAACTGGGCTTCTGTTGATTCAGGAAGTCTGGCTTGGGTCATGTGTGCAGTAGAAATCAACAACTGTGTGAGACAAAGGAAAGAAGACACGTGTTTGCGCTAAATTCGTCTTGGTCAAATTACACGAGTAAAAAAAGTCAAAGAATGAGCCTTATTCAAACACATAGACAGTATTAAAACATGATGCGGATCCCGAAATTAAGCCGGTCACAACGAAAGCGATAAGCTTATTCTTTTCTGACGACACGGAATGGAAACCCCCCTCACGGATGGCAAAGTTACTGAGGAGGAACACGTCTTTTAACGCAAAAACAAAGAGGCAGATTGAGAATAAATACTTAAAGAGAAGTCATCAGACACAATTGTAACTCTTTACAAAACTGATAAAAGTGTTTTGCTTGTTTATTTAAACTGTAGCCGCAGTAACGTCGTGCATAATATGTGCGTAAAAGTTGTGGACAACTTTGGATCATTTTAGTTTATGTTTTTATTCAGTCACAGTGTTCCCGCATCCACTCAGTAGCTTATCTATTTCTTGTTAATACAACCCGAAACCACAACAATACACGCCTCAAATGACTTCAAAAACGATGTTTACAAATGAAATTCCTCCACTCAAAACAAAAGACGAATGAAATGCCCGATGTATAAACAGAAAACGCAACATTTATTCCAAACTAAATAAGACGTTTAAGAAAATATGGTTCAAAGTGTGCAATATATTTGTTACAATAAATTCTTCCTGTTCAGTGCTGTGCCACAAGCAGAAGTGTAGAAACAATATTCGAATGTTTTTAACACTAGTTTTGATATATTTGCAGAAAGAAAATAAAACATGTCAAGAAAGTGGACAGAAATGATAGAACTGGAGGAGGGAAGAAGTAAAAGTTTCCATACTCACAGTAAAAGCTCGTAAACAGTGGTGATGTCCAGCTTCCGCTCTCGAATCTCGGTCTCGGCTGGGTCTCTGCTCGGCCCGCTGGGGAGATGGGTCTTTGTGCTCGGTCTGGTCCGGTCTGGGAGCGTGAGCTGGAGGTTCGTAGTCAGCACATGTTGCTTCCTTGTTTTTTTCTGCGCTCTCGAAACGATTACCGTCAGAGTGAGTCACTTCCTGAACGTAGCGCTGCGTCACCCCGCCCGGACCATATATGGGCCGTTGAGGTAAACCATATTGAGTTGCCAGATTCGCTGCTTACAGCTAGGGGGGTCTGTAGCTTTTATCCATTCCTCGTCCTCAAAACGAGGGGGAAAGCGTTTTTAGCTCCCAGTTTAGGAGATGAGAAGCTAACTTGCTACTTTGGAGGCTAACATTTGGATGTCTTTATTTGCAAATATAGGTAATTACCGAAAATAGCAGTGGGCTGGGGTGGGCTTTGTTTATTGTGTGTGGGAGGAAGAGCTGCGAATGAGTGGAGAAAGTGGTCTGTGAGAGACGACTCAAAGGAATGAGTGGTCATGCCAGTTGTGCTTTGATGTATATATACACAACACTGCACAGAGCCTGACTACTTCATTGCCCTCAAGAATTCTGTGATGTGCAAACGTCCTCCAAAGAACGGAAATGGAGGGAAGACTCAACACTCAACAGGCGCTGGACATGATCCTGAGGGAAGTAAACCCCTGGGACTCAGATGGAGAGGAGATCAACCTAGAGCTGGCTTTGAACTCTGAGTCGTCTGAGCTCTCTTCAGGTTATATTTTTTTAAATGTTATTTCCCTTTTTATATTTATTTTTAAACATAAGGTTAAAAAAAATACTACAATGGTAAAGTGTAATGACTGATGTCTTTCTGTATTATATTTTCATCCAAAGTTAATATTTATATTCTATTCATTCTGCAGATGAGGAACCTGCTTCTCAGCCAAAAAAGAGAGCTCGATCGGGGACTGAAGTGACTGAGACAGCGAAAGATGGTACGGTGTGGCATGAAGAACAGCTGGGGATGTTACTCGATTTCACCCCAATAGAAGCTTATGACGCAGATGGAGAGCCAATAGCTAAGGCCAAAAGTAGTATCACAAGTCGCCTTGAGAGCTTTCTGTGTTTCATTACTCTTGAAATGCTTCGTACCATTCAACAATGGACTACTCAACATGCCACGAAAACAGAGCACGTTGATTGGTTCATGGACCTTCCAGAACTAAAGGCATTTATAGCAATTTGCATTTTGCGTGGGCTCACCAAAGTGCCATCACTACGTGACTGCTGGTCTGCAAACCTGGGAAACCCACATATCATTGGAATCATGTCCCGAAACCGCTTCCAAAACATCATGCAACACCTACGCTTTGACGACAAGTTCACCCGCGAAGACCGAGCAAAGACTGATAAGTTTGCTGCAATGTCTGATGTGTGGGGATCATTTGTCACCAACTGCCTCACTTTGTACAATCCCGGTCGACACATCACCATTGATGAACAGCTTTTCCCATCAAAGACCCGCTGCTGTTTCCTGCAGTACAGCGCTACTAAACCTGAAAAGTTTGGGATCAAGTTTTGGGTAGCCTGCGACTTGAAATCCAAGTACATTTGCAATGTCCTCCCATATCTTGGCAAGGACTCCAGTCGTCCCAGCGGTGAGAGACTGTCTGAAACTGTTGTGATGAGGCTGATGGAACCATTCCTGGACAAGGGCAGAAATGTGACCACGGACAATTTCTTTACATCGCTATCACTTGCACAACAACTGCTTGAACGGAAAACCACCATCCTCGGCACACTCAACAAGATTTGCCGGGAAATTCCTCAATCTACAAGACGTATGGACCGCAATGAATATAACACTCAGTTGTTTTCGACCACCGGTGCGACGCTCACAGTGTACACTCCCAAACGGAAGAAGGCTGTCTACATTCTCAGCAGCATGCACAACTTCGTTCAGACGGAAGATACCACCAAAAGAAAGCCAAACACTGTGACCCTATACAATACCACAAAGCGCGGCGTGGATGTAATGGACCAGATGGTGAGGGAGTACAGTGTCCGCTCAGGAACACGGCGCTGGCCCATCGCCGTGTTCTATAACATGATTGATATGGCAGCACTGAACGCACATGTTCTTTATCAAGCATGTACTGGGAAGCAGGAGAGACGCGTGGACTTTCTGGTGGAGCTTGCAAGAGAATTGGCTCACTGTCACGTTGATGCAAAGAAGGGACAAAAGGAAGAAATGCTTCGGAAACAGCCCTCCACACTGAGCCCTGGAAAAAGACCCCTGTGTCAGGTGAAACACCAGTGCAAGAAGAATCATGCCTCTGCGCGATGTATTGACTGCTACAGATACACATGTGGACAATGCAGAAGAGAGATGCCATGGCAGTGCAAGAAATGTGTACCCTGAGAATGCATATACTGTATATATTTTGTAAATATTACCATTTTTCTTTACCATTTCTTTACCATTTTGTAGCATTTAAAATCAATAAATCTCACCAACAAAAGAAAAATCTGTGTGTTGATCCCACTTGACTGGTGGGACAGTAAGATTTAAGATGCTAGTAATAACTACAGTACATGCAGTAGAAAATGTAAAGATTTAATTAAGTAGCATATTTACTGATCATGCTGTTTTCATTATTATTATTGTTCTTATTAGCCAGCATGTCATCTTTTTTATATTTTTGAGTCACTACTTTATGCTTTGGGCTATAATATCTATGTGGAAACTTGTGAAAACGAAACTTTTGTTTTTATTTTTTCAGTCACATCTATCTTGCTCTCCCTGACTCCACTCCTACCCCTCTCTCAGGGGTCTGAATCTCAGTGGGACTTTTCTTAATAAACAACATTAAAAATATTATTTTTATTATCTCCAGCAAGTGAACCCTACACTTTTTTATTTTGGAAAAAGATTAATTTAGTTTTAAATGTTTACTTCAATATTTTTTGTATGAAGAGCCTTGGATAAAATCTCTTCAAAATAAATCTAAATATTATATTTCCAACACTACAGTTCCTGGCACAATGCAAAGCTCGCAGTTATTTTTCCTATACTAAGTGTAATTTTTGTTTAATCCTGTGTGTCCAATTCTTAATCTTATATAAAGAAATATATTGGCAACCCAGGCCAAGCTCACAATTTATGTTATAATAACCTTCCCTTAATCTCCCCTGATCTATTTATCTTGCCACATCTTTTAAACATGCCTTATAACTTTAAGACCACAACAAGTTAGCCATATAATAAAATCCATGTAACCAGTTCCTGGCTCTAAAACAGTTCAATAACTAGTTTTCATGTGTATGTTTCTTTACGACATTCAGCTCTCAGCCCAAAGCATCAAATATTCACAAGTACAAAATATATATTTTTCTAATAAGATAAAGATCAAGTGCTGTAGACTGAATCAATTTGTGTATTATAATAAGAATTTTAGATTTTAATCTCTAAACCGGAGTTATATGTTGCCTCCTCTTAGTGCCTGTGAAGCTCCTTGCTGCATTTTCTGTTTTTATGCATCACTTTTAGAAAGGATATTCACAATGTCAGCTACAGTGCCCATAGAAATATGCCGTTTTAGTGACTTGGTCTATATGTGCTCTGAAGGAGAGTTCTTTGTCAATAAGGACTCCAAGTTTCAGTGTTACAGCGAGTGAGTAACCAGACGTTTGGACAAAAGTAAGATTATTAAGTCTTTCGAATTGATCTGTCTGATTTGTTTTCATAAACAAAGGTAAAGCTGTGTGTCATCCGCAAAGCAGTGGAAGTTAATGTCATGATTAATGTTGTTGCCTAATAGCAGCATATAAGGTGTGAAGAGAATGGGGCACATTACTCCGAAATTTACTTTGTAGTAATGTGCAGAGTTTTGGTTCACATTAACAAACTGATACTGGTACAATAAATTAGATTTAAACCAGCAAAGAGCTGTTCCTCTGAGACCTATGTCACATTCCAGCTTCTGCATTAGAATGTTGTGGCCTATTGTGTAAAATGTAGCACTCAGGTCCAGGAGAACAAACCAAAACTTATACTTATATTTACTTCTACTACTATTAACTACTTATTTTGTATATTTTGTGTGCTCCCTGTGTGTGTGGTGCAACATTGAAATTTTCCCACTGTGGGACGAATAAAGGGGATCTTATTATTCTTAAAATGTTATTTCAACAATACTTTTTCTGTTGGGAAAAACACAATGGATTCATGAAACAATAACAAAAGTTAGGAATACCAGCTTTAATAATGGATTTTGCCTCAAATTTGGATTTGTTTCCCTGAAATGACCCATGTGTTGCTCCCAAAGCCTGTTCAGGAAACTCGTCTAGCAACTCATTACCAACTACTTTAACTCGAGCCATAAAACTGTGGGTCACACCCGGGTTTGGTTAGGGGGTCGTTAGGGGCAATAAATCAATAGATTGAAATGATAATAAAGTTCATTATAATGTGTTTGGTCCTTTCATCACACCTCAGCCATCTGTTTACAAATCAGAGCTTCTGTTAATAGTGACTTATGGCTTGTCTGTGCATAGTGCAGTAATTCAACTTGATTTCAGATTTTGCTTTTCCTTCTTCAGAAACAGCCCCAATGTTGTTTTTAGATCCATTCTATGCTAATATCAGGAGGAACTTCTGTCTACAGGCTCCTGTCTTAGTCCTATTGTATGCTGTCATCGTACCACTATGCTCTGAGTGGTTTTCAACCTAAACTAAAGTATTACCTATGAATTTGTTTCTACACTTTCTTTACAATAGCATTAGTCGTTATTCAAATTTGGAGAAAAGAAAAACAAATTCAACTCGTCCCTCAGGTGAAAGCATTGAGAACGCATAATATTTCTGCTTTAATGTTTAAGATCCATCCATTCTATTTCTTTCCCTTTGTCCATTTCTTGGTGGGGTGGGGGCCAATCATGTTAAAGGTATAAAGGAGGATTTTCCCATATTTTAGGAAAGAACCGCCCTTTCTACTTTTTGAACAAAACTCTCTGCTCTTATTGGACAAGGACGTATAAACAGAATGATTGACATTTGGGAGGACCAATAGGTTTGATGATCCACCCGGAAGTAGAAAATCCTCTTGTATACCTTTAAAGTTGATGAAGATAATGTGCAGCTTATGTTGTTGCTCGATTCCCTTATCTGTTGTTGGAGAATCTGCAACTAATGTGGTTCTCCTCGAGGTTTTTCTTTTCTCCCATTGCGTTTTAGAGTTATTCCTAAATAAGAATAATTAGAATTGAAATGAATTGGACTTCTGGCCTTAGCTATCTGTAAGCTCCAGTCAATTATCATTTGTGTACATATATAAACAATGTAATTTGTACAATGGTGTGGTACGACCAGGCTATGGCTAAACAAAGTACAAACACATTTGGAATAGAGTAAAAACAAAATCCACTTGGAGGGAAGACCTTGGTGTGGAGATGTAATTCCTTTGCTTATAATGGTTCTCACTGATGGAACTCAGCCTACTGCAGTTCTTTGTAATGTGTAGGACAAGTTGAATGAAACAATTTAGAATACTTTTACACTATTGTCCATTTTTACTGATATGTTAATCAAGATGCTTTTCAAACAAAATAATTAATATGTTATAAATCCGTCTAACTAATGACTATTCTCAAAACCGTTTTGGTCCATCACTAGTTTTCATATTTTTATTGGAGTCTGTCCAATCTTTAGATCAGCTTTTTCCAGACAGAAATGTAAAAAAGAGAATGACCCTCTCCTTGTTAGCTCTAAGCCCAAAGTGTCAAAGAGAGACTGACAGGTCTCTTTCTAACAAGATGAAGACAGCATGTTGGGATTGGGGCATTTATTTGCACGCATTCATACTACGCTCTTTGAATTGCTTCATCGCTTTGTGCTCTGTCCAACCTGGCAACCCTGACGATCAGCTGAGACTACAGTGTCCCGCCTTAGCACCATCTTGCCAGTGTATTGCATGGGGCAGTCTGGAGAGTGCAATGTATTGTGCAACAGTGAAAGTGCTTTAGGGCCCTGTGTCACCTGTAGTTGTAAACATAAAAATACTTCAGATCAAATTAAAGCCCAATAAAAGGAGGCTTGTTTGTAAAGGACTTTTGTAAAAACGCTGTTGCCCAACGAAGAGGCTTTGCAATAAATCATTATTCACAGGTATTTTACATGAATTGAACATTCCATAAATTCAAGTGATGTCAGAATGTTCAATACGAAACCACAGTCACTGTCCACTTACACTTTTCTGATAGCCTTCTGTTGCTAACATGTACAGGCGTATGCATATTACTATACATTTTTGTACTAGATAATACGGTATTTTATATTGGCTTTTTTATTATGCTTAAGTCAGAGATTTTTTTGTTAAATTCTTGCTTCTTTATTCTGCTAAAGTTGGACAATTTAGCCTTGCTTCTTTGTGCTAAAGTTAGAGATTTTATTTTATTTTAGTATAGAGTTATTATTATTATTATTATTAGTTTTTTTAAAGAGTTTTTCCTTGTCGATGCAGGAGGGTCTTGTTGGACAGTTAGCGTCCAACAAAAAGGATGTTCCTGATGATCCAGGACACTTTCCTGGATCATCAGGAACATTCTACAACATGTATGGACATTTTCTTCTGTGTGTGCTTTATATTTCTCATGTGTTTTAACTGTTGATTCTCTGACCTGTGTTGGTGATTTCAATGGTTTCGTTAAGTCCTCTGAGATGACTTCTGCTATACAAGAATACATTGTATTGTATTGTATTGTATTGTACTTATCTTTTGCTGTGTGCTCCTCAGTTACTGTTCTGTAACTGGTGGTGCAACATTTCCAACATGTGGGACGAATAATCTCTTCATCCTAATACAGGTAGGACCGCTTTTTAAAAAAACTGCTTGAAAGAGAGAGTTTGAACAAATATGTCTTTAATTTAAAGATGGATAACCTAGCTTTCAAACAACAAACAATAGAATGTAATAAAATCTCAAAACAGTTTTCACGGGCATGTATTTTTGGCCTCTGTCACATCTTTAGATCAGCTTTTTCTGACAAAAAAAAGTGAAAAAGAGAGGACCACCCTCACTTAGCCAATCAGCGCTCAGCCTATTTTCAAATAATGATTCACAGGTATGCAAAAAGACGTGCATTGGATGTTTTTCTTTTTTTCAATCCAATCCCATAAATATATTATAAACAAACTTTTTCCAAAGAACATCATATGCATGTACAGAACAAAGCAATTCAAATGAAGCCTGGTTGGATCAAAATACTGTATACCAATAGATAACAACTCTCTCAATTAGAAAACAAAGACCACAACAATTACAAAATATATGTAGAAAAGATTTAATAATAAAGATGGAACGATTGTTCCTGAATAATAATGATTCTTTGTCAACACTAGAGGGCGCGGTTTCCTTCTTTAAACTCTCATCAGTTTTCTCTGTTGCTAGGTAAAGAACACGACTCATTCGTAGTAAATGAAATAAAGCTGAAATGATAGTTGCTGGTTATTGCCCTAAGCATGAGTTTGTGACCTCCAGTGTGTGCTCAAGTAGAAGGAGGATGAGGTGCATTTGTGTGGACTTCCCATCACCACCTCTGCCCCACATGACCAGTGAAGAGTGAAAGAGTCTGAGAATCTCGAATATGATGTCATCAGATAAATCATCTCAATGTGAATGTGACATCTTCAGAATCTTTAGTATAATAACTTTGAAGGGTAAAACAATGCTGCAATTTCCTATGCTACCGCTCTTTCAAGATTTTAACCAAATCGAAAAAATACTGTCTGCAAAGCCAGACAAGCGATTGTAAAGAATGTAATTTTACCTGATACAAAACTGCTAAATTCATGGTCAATACTTTATCATGTACGTGACATCATACTATTACAAGACTGATACAGGGGCTTTTCAACAGAAGGAGCGGAGTAAAATTTTGGTGCTGGAAGTTCTCGATATTGGCATGGATGGATCTGAAAACAACTCCAGGTCATCTGGCTGATGAGTAACAAAAGGAGTTTTTGCATTATTTGCCTCCTTCAAAGAAAAACATAGTATGCATACTTTTCGCATAATTTAAAATTGGAATGAGACCTTTTATTTTTACATTTCATGTTTTGGAATGTGAAATAATATCGGCAGTAGAAAATATTCTTGCATCAGAATCAGAATCATTGTAAGTAACAGGAAGTCATTGCTTTGGCTTTAGCATTAGGTGTTTCTGTAGCTCCTTATGCTACCACCAGAGGGAGGAATTTCATTTGTTTTTGTGATTGTGAAGAACATAATTTTACTTGAGCAAAAAATGATCTGTATACTAAGTAATAATACTTTTGTTTTAAAAGTCATAAATCTGTTTCTGTTATACATATTTTATATTATATTTTATTTTATTTTATATTTTATTTTATATTATATATTGAATTATATGAACTTATATGAAGCACTTTATTTTGAACTTTTATATTTGCATATCATGCAATACATTTTAAACCAAACAGTCTGGTCATTACATGTAAACATTGATGTAGAGTGTAGTTGTCTAGGTATAAAAGCTTAACAACATGGGCATACAGGATGAATGAGTGATGCTTACAAAAATGTATAATCAATGTTTACTTTACTTTCTAATAATCAATAGTTGCATGTACTTATTGTTGAGAGTAAGGTTTTCTCTCACACTTTACGCAAATTTAACATAATTTGTTTAGTTTTTATTGTGTAAAAACAGAAGATCTTTGTTGCAATCGGTTACCCCAAGCATCTTTAGTAATGATAACTAAACTAATCCAGGCTGACCGTGTGCTTTAAAGGTGACTGGATGTGAAACCTCGCTGCGAGGACGAGGCACCAGACTGCGCTGTCCCCACTCTGCCTCGTCCTCACAGGTGTTTCTGTGCAAGTGCTTGACCTCTAAACGCGACGGTCCTTTTCCAGGAACGGCTCGTGTGAGAGAGCGTCTGGCCGCTGCACGGAGGGCCACGCCGCGTGCAGTCTGCTGCCTTTTTCAAACACGCATCGATTTGTGTTGTTCGCGGCAGCTTAATGCCATCGACCGGCCCTTTGAAGATCAGCAGCGAGTGAGCGTCTCTGCCCTGCTTCCCCTACTTCCCCTGCTTCCCCTTCTTCCCCTCAGGTAACGATTGTCCTTGGGGCCAGAGAGAAGAGACTGTTAGCGTTGAGAGAGACAGGAGTGTGCTAGGATGATAATGATATTTACTGTAGTGAGGTTAAAAAGCAACGACCATGACCCAGATACACTCAATTATAGATATAATGATTAAGAGATCCTTCATATGTCTCACAGTGGGGAAATTTCAGTGGTGCATCACCGGTTTCAGAACAGATTGGAATTAGGAGCACAGAAGAGAGCAAAAGTTAAATGAACAATAACTCTATACTAACATAAAATGAAATAAAATCTCTTAACTTTTGCATAAACATAGAAGCAATAAAATCTCTTATCTAGTATCTCCAATTAAAGCAAAATGAAGAAGCAAACATATTGTATATTCTAGAGCATGAAATATGTCTACATGCATATGTAAATAAACATAGTGCATTTTGCGGTATTTCAGCAAAAAAGGTTAACACAAGGACTCCCAGAATTCTGAAACTAGAACTTCCAGAGCAGTCATTTTGACGGTTCCCATTCAAATGAATGGAATACTGAAAAGTTTTAGTTTTTCTTATATTTGAATTGAGTAAAACGTACTAGTTTTATCAAATATATTCAAAAACTGAAATTCCTTGTTCCTTGCTTGTTGCTATGGTAACCAAAATGTGCTCTAAGCTGCGATGGCTCTGAACCAGTCTAGGATCAGGATCATTTCATAAAACCAAAACTTTTCATAAGTAGATTAATTACACTCCAATAGATAGAAGCATATGATCAAGACAAACAGTAGATGGTGACTAAAGTGACTCGTAAGTGAACACTTTTGGAATATATACTATATATATATATATATATATACATATACAGCGGCCAGACAGCGGCCAGACGCGGAACTTCGGGGTAATTTTCCAGGGCTAGTCTCGTCGGTGCGTGTCTCCACTGCAGGAACTTCCCCCACAGGGCCATTTACAGGAACTTTTACGGGGCCCAACGGAGTCCCTCCTCTATGCTAGGTACTCTGTTGGGCCCTGGTGTGACTTGAGGTTAAAGCCTAGTGTATACTCGCACGGCGCTGGTTACGGTTGCGGTTGTTCTGGACCTACATTATTAGCCACAGTGACTCGTCCACTCGCGTGTTCCCCGTGCAGAGTTTTGAAGAGAATGTTGAAATCCCACACCCAACCACGTGATGGCGATCTCACAGGAGTTGCCTGGGAAACCAAAGCTGTCCCATTTACGCTGCTACTTTCTCCTCTTCAGAACAAAAACATTGGCAAACCAAGCTGTTTGAGCTCATTACATGTGTATCTAGTGTAGTTTATGTGATAGTTCTATGGACTCATTATTCCATAAGTCATTTAACTGTGTAAAGGCTCGTTCTTGTTGGAAACATAGTTATTATTACATTTTATTCAACACAAGCAGCAAAACAATAAGTGGTAAATATCTGAGATCAAACATGAACTATTTACAAGTGCAGGAGGAATGCAACAGAGGCGATAAGCTATGAGTGCAGATTCAAACAAAGACAGGTGCAGGAACAGTGCAAAAGTAACAACTGTACAGTTTATAAATTGGATATGCAACAAAACTGAACCACAGTCCACCGTCTCCGCGTATATCAGGCTCTGAGCCATGAACCCAAACTACTTTTCCTTTGCTTCCTTCGAAGCATGAGGCTATCTCGTCCATGCTCCCTGCAGCCGCTCCATGCTTCCGTCCAAAACACACACACACACGGACCAATCACAGCGGAGCTTCTCTGCGGCTGCGGCTGTGTAGTTAGACATTTTCGACGGTGCGCGGCAGGCTATGCAAGGATCTTGCGGTGATCCTTGCGTTGCACAAGTGACGTCACGTCACCACCGTAAGCTCCGCGCCACGCGACTATACACTAGGCTTAACCCGGCGCTGATTGGCCAAACAAATGGGTTTGGCGTAATGAGTCTTGCTTATGCGGCAATCAAAACTCATGACGTCCCCGAGTGGTTCTACTCTGCATTGGAGACACGGCCACTGAGAGGGCCGAGGGAGAGGACGGTTCCTTTAGAAGTTCCAGAACCCACTACTTTTACCAGGAACTCATGCGGTGGAAACGCGGCTAATTCCTCAAATCAGCTGGTTTAAACTGGACTCACCTCCGGAAATGGATGGAGTATGGTGTGCTCCTGCTTTGGTTGGACCTAAAACCTGCAGCCACACCAGCCCTTTGACCGGTCCTAATATTGGTGAACATCTCTATCATGATAAAGGACAAGTACAGTGGCTGGCGTCACAGGCGGGTCAGGTTATCCTGAGCACAGAACAGGATCTGTAGAAGCCCAGTAAATTGGGTCCTCTGCAGAGAGGAGTTGGAGTCCCTCAGAGACAATACAGTATACCCAACAAAGTTCAAGATCCTTGGTGTACACATACAAGTATGATATCTATTTTTGTTATTTCCAAATTGCGACTCATCAAATTGTGATTTGGATGGTAGTCCTCCTGTGGATGTAAGCTGTGGAAGTATATTTGGCTGTTTAACAAAAGGTGTGAGTGAATGCAGAGCACATCTTAGACGACCTTTATCTCCCTCCTCTATCCCCCTCTCCTTCTCTCCCCACTCCTCCTGCTCTGCGGTCAATACCTATTTGTATTTGTAATGCATTAGAGCGCTGGCCTCCTTTGAGATTGGAAAAAGTTACCGTGGTGCCTCGCAGGCTTATCACACCAATGAGCTTTTGTTTATTTTTCTCCTTTACTCAGCTCCAGACTGAGGCTTGCAAAAATAAAATCTAAATTCCAGTAACTAGGAATGGGACATAAGAAAATCACAGAACGTGATAATTGTGACCAAATATAATATCAGTTACATATTTCATCTTAGTCATATTGTGAATGCGCTGGAAAACGGCTGCAAGTCCTAAGTAGCTCTGAAACAGTTGTTGTTTTGTGCTTTACAATTTTTATTGCTTTTTTCTGCCTGAGATGTTCCTGCGGTACAATGTTCATGGTTTTGCACTGGTCCAGACCGGAGCGGGGAGGATTCATGGTCCGAATCAAGCGTATCAGGTGAAAATCCACTGGAGGAATGCTAACATTTTGAAAAATGCTAATGAAGCATTTAGCATTTTACTTTGGACTAGAGCAGAGAAAATGGTCCAAACCAAGTGGCTACTCCACCTTGTGACCCGTCCTGCTCCACCCAGAGGCTACTCCGTCTCTCCTGCTGTGACCTGAGGCTGTTGCTGATTATTACTATTGTTATCTTTTTTAGAATGATCAATTTTATTTTATATTTTTGCTGCAATAAACTATCTATCTATCTACATGTATCTATCTATCTTTATTCCAGTGGGTTTGTATTACTCCGTCATTAGGGACATAATCCGATGCTCCTTTCACTTTAATTGTAAAGCAAACAAGTCTGCCTTATGGATCGAGTTTTGTTACTGATACTGAGGTCAGCTTGACATATCTGCGTTCCATGTGAGATATTCCAAGAAAAGACGAGTAGAGCCGCTGGACAATCAGCTGCCAACATAATGAGGCCATTGTGTTGCTTTTACTGGGCATAAAAATAAGTGCCTGCTCTGACAGTCTTAGTACCAATATAACCTTTAGCCAAAAACCCAAAAGTGGTGTCTCCTTTTCCGTTGTAATCCCACGTTTAGACCATAGACCAAATGGGAACGGACGATGCTTGCCTGTTGACTGAAGTCTGATATCTCTTAATCTAGTGCTCATGGTGAAGTTTGGCTCAAATTTTGGCTCCATTCACATACATTTAAAGTCCATTGAAAGTCCTCTTTTCTATTTGGGCTTGACAATATGATCCTGTATGATCCTGGTGTTTTTACTTTGATAATGTCTTTGCAAATGTCCCCTGACTATTAACCAATCAGGTATTGTCTGTCCCTGGATTCGGCTTCAGCTTGTGATTATTGGTTACTCGGTTGCTAGGCCGTTGCCGTTCGCACATGCACGTTTGAGTTAGCTCTAATTGGCTTCTTCTGCAGTAAGCGAAACACTGGGTAAAATCCACACTCAGGTTATGGTCCACTTATTTTACGCTCTATGTTTTCAATGAAGGTTTAGGGGTCCTTTATGCACTCTTAAAGTGCTAAAGTGACATGTGGATGTTTTCATGCCATGCTCACTCATCTACTGCTGAATCAATAAAGTTGTCCCACCACTGAGAGGTCCTTCCAGGTCTGGTCCACAGCTTTCTTGGCCTCCTCTGGGTCTCTGGTAACATGTCTTGAATGTAGAGAAGTGTTTTTCTCTGTTCTTTATTCAAAGCTGCTGTAGATGAAGCATGAACATGACAATCTATGACCCATCTTTACAATAAATATGGTTCATATGAAATATTTAGTTGCCATTTTAAGGTCGCTCCATTTATTATCACCTGTAGGCATAAATTAAAAAATTATAACTATTGGCCAAATAATTCTGTCTACTGTTTGACATAATATAGCATATATTTTTCTTTTTAACCTCTTAAGAGAGAAAAAATACATCCGCTGGCAATAGCAGATGTATTTTGAACTGCATAAGCCACAAACTATATATCATTTTAAAGCTTATTTTCTCGGCTATATTTACATGTAAGTGTAAACGATATCAGACTTTGCATTAAAAAGATATAACGCATAATATGTGCACAAAATAAATCGTGTTTGTATGTTTTCTACATTTTGTCTTCTGCTGCTCCAACAAATTAGACTTTCCCCATCCTTGCTTAGTCTCTTTCTCTCCGTAAGTCTTCATTGAAAAAGAATATCCACTTGTATTTCCCAAAGTATAATCCATTCTTCGGAAATAATAATTTTTTTAGCATTTTTCTGTTGCAAAAAAAAACGCTCCGAAAAATGTTCAGGCTTCTCTTTCACATTTCACCAAGTTTGAGCTTTGTTTACCCCCACAAACATGCATTTACACCACTA